GATTAATAATGGCTGGATCACATTGGGTTTTGTATACATACATAATAATATTTTGGAAGATTTTTTACTTTTAATGGGGTATTCCCGTCAATAAATAAATGAACTTTTTGATCGTACTGATTGTTTCTCGGACCCTCTGCTCAACTAGGACAAACCCATCTATTTTATAGATTGTTTAATTGCCATTTTGACCATATTTATCGTGGATAGGATAATATTCTTGTGTCAGCTTCAAGTTTTTTTTTTTGGTAAAGGTCTCGAGAGCCATCAGGGACTCTAGGATGTTAAAATATGCATATCATTGACGGCTTGAAATTGGTTCAATAATTTGTATCTCTGCGGTCTTCCCAAAAAGTTGCGAAACTGCGATTAATTCTGTGTCTAAAAATTTTTCTCCGTGGATTTCTTAACTGGATGCAGATTCTCAGTAAAAGGTATTCTATGGTAAAAGGGGCTTATGACACTTGTAAAAGGCTAGATATTCAGTTAATCAAACGCCTGTCACACTTCCACAAATTGTAGAAAATATTCTTGTAAATTGTACTTTTGCGAAACCTGGTCTCACTCATCGTCTGAGGTAATCATTAAATTCATGACACATCAAGACCAAGATGTTTTTTGTACTGGCGGACCCATAATCTAACTACTTCCAGCTTTTGCATTGATAGATTAATTAATTTACAATTCGTGCCTGGTATTTGGCTGGATCGAGGATCGAATACAATAGGTAGCTCGAGATACGGATAACTATTTTTCCTACTGACGTTTCATAATAGCGACTTTTCGATTGTCATTTTAGTTTTTAAATGGCATTCTTTTAAGCACTAGTGTGTAAAAGTGACACTTTTAAGCACTAGTGCGTAAAAGTGACACTTTTAAGCACTAGTGCCTAAAAGTGTCACTCATTGTTCAGAAATAAAACACACAGATTTGAATTTTGTCTATTTTTTCATAAATGTTGTCAATGCAATTATTTGAACTACTAAAGTAAACGTTTGGGTTACTCAAAACAGAACTTTCTGTTGTTTTTTTCAATAGGATTTCAATTTTCAATCAAAAAAACCTCATGAAAGATGTCAATCAAAAGCAGGTGCCAAACTTTTTTGGCGCGATCGGCTCTTATTTACGAGGAATAAAATTATGTTTTTTTTTTTCAGTATGAAACGCCAGTAGAAAAAATCTTGTATACCAACACGTAACGAAACGATGTCTTTTAGTCACTCTACGTGTTGTCCAACTCGGCTACGCCTCGTTGGACAATTTTCACGTCGCGTGCCTAAAAGACACTCATTTCGTAACTTGTTGTATAAATAGCTATTTCCTACGAGCGTGCGTAAAGTATTACTTTTCCGCACGCATTTCCGTGTTCAAAGTTACACTTTTCGGCACTCCGTGCGGATAAGGTCCACAGCATAAGGTCTGTATCTGCACTGAGTGCCGAAAAATAAAAGTAATTGTCCAGCAACACTTCGCGTCGTTCGTATAACTGTGTTTGCGTGCGGAAAAGTAACACTTTGCGCACTTGTTAGGAAAATAACTATATACATATATCCAACTGACTATAACATTGGCTGATTTGTTATTGTCTTCATTACATTTTATAAACGTAGGTTTTATATTTTCTTGGAGGGTTAAACTTTAAAATTATTCATTTATTTGATAATTTTTTCAATATTTATGAAAAAGATACGAGTTCACTTAGTGAAATCGAAATATCATGGCCGGTATGTATTATGTAAGTATTCTTTCATGGAATTTAATCCGATACCAGACTAGACCAGGGTTGCCAGACGTCCCACCTTAGAAGGGACAGTTCCGCATTTTGTTAATCAGTCCCGCCTTTTTTCTATTAATTTCAGGTCCCGCCTTTCACGTGAATTGCCCCGATTTTCCCGCTTTTTCCACCCAATCTTCACATTTATTTCAAAAAACACGCTCATTTTACAACTTGTTACATAAATAGCTATTTCTTGATTTAAAATTGCCGCAAAAATCTAATAACGAGCCTGAATCGCAAGCATTTCATCGAGGTCTGCGGGTGACGTTACCACTATTAGCTGCTGACGTGATGACGTCACTCGCAGACCTTGTGGACTCGAGAACCGGCGAACGTACGTCTTCTCAAGATGAGGAATCCTGTTAGTTTTACGATTCTTGGGTTTTAATAATAAATGTTGTAGGTATAAAAATGTCGAAAATTCCAACAAAATCCAAATCTTTCATTGCACAAACTAGCATTTGCAAAAAACTTTTTTTCTGGCCATTGAAAAATAAACTTTCGTCATATTTCACCTTAGCCGAAAACGTCACTTTCGTCACTAGTGATAAAATATCTAGTGACGAAAGTGAATGATTAAGGATTTTACGTGTTAAAAACATTCTTTCAAATCTAATTATAACATACAATGACATAATGTTATAAAAGCAAAATAATAGTAATAAAAATAATTAAAAAAGAGAACTTTTTATAGATGGCGTTTTGATTCATCTACGTTTTCAAGCGCCATCTATTAAACGTAGGAACCCTTGTGAAAAACATTACATTAGTTTAACAGCAAAAACCATAACATAAGAGAATTTTTGCACCCCTTAAAATAAGATAAGTTATGGTTACCTTTATCGGCTATAACAATTACCACGAACTTCAAAATCAGAGATTTTGCATCGCCTAACCTAACGTATACATATTTCCGTTATTTCTATTCTGCCTCTGGGTCATGAACTGCGCCTTTGGATGTAAACCAATTTTATAACATCAAAATGATAATCCACATTTATTTTTTCAGAATTTCAGATGATTTTAATTATTTATATACAGGGTGTCCTTAGATAAACTGACACATTTTGCAGGTGAATATCTCGAAAACGGGAAAAGATAACTAGATGCGGTTTGTTCTGGGAGAATAAGGAATTTTTAAAGTTTTTTTTCACATTATTGCCGAATCCTAAAATTTGCTGAAATTTGGTTTCACAGACATGCGATTTTTTGAAATAAAATGACTGCCCTATTTTTAATGAAACACCCTGTATATTTTGTCATCGTCAAAAAGCCTGTTTTTTCTACTTTACCAAAATGTATAATTTTTTCAAATTATCTTGAACTTTCATCGTAAAAATTGCACTTTGTCGAAGAGAACACCATCGACTAACCAAAAAAAAAATTGATGATTAAGTTGTGTTTCATACTTTTATTAACTAATTAGCGCATAATTAATTAATAATACAATTATTAAACACAAATAAACTAATAATGCAAGTGCATATAAAACACAAATTAATTATTATTATTTTTTTGGCCAGTCGATGGTACACTCTTTAACAAAGTGCAATTTTTACGATCCAATTTCGAGATAATTGAAAAAAATTATACATTTTTGTAAAGTAGAAAAGTCACGCTTTCTGACGATGACAAAATATACCGGGTGTTTCATCAAGAATAAGGCAGTATGTAATTATTTCAAAAAATTGAATGTCCTTAAAACCAAATTTCAGGATTTGTCAATGCCATGAAAAAAAAACTTTGAAAAATCCTTATTCTGCCAAAACAAACCGCATCCCGTTATCTTTTCTCGTTTTCGAGATATTTACCTGCAAAATGTGTCAGTTTATCTAAGGACACCCTGTATTAAAACGGAATGAAATCTATTCAATTTTCTTCAATGTGGCATCCACGCAGTTTACCCCCCCCCCCCCTTATGCTTTTGGCCGTGGCACCCAAAAACAAATTTTCCCTCTGGTCAAAGCATCAGTCCCGCTTTTTTATTTCATAGATCTGGCAACCCTGGACTAGACAGGGTTGCAATGACTTGCAAAAGCTCTTTCAGTAAAGACCCATATTGCTTATGTTTCCCTTCCGAGAGGTAAATATATAAAGTTTGTGTTGCAATAAGGTTGAAATAGAAACCACAGAAACTTTGAAGTATCAAATACCAGTTTCGGTTTCAATTATAGGTTTCAATGTGAATACAAAGACTATGTTCCGATATGTCAGTACTGAATTTACTGGACGCCGTTCCGATAATATTTTCAGTACTGAATGGCGTTTTGAATGTGCCAATGACGTCATTAATATTTACTGGACAAGATCTCTGCTGGACAGAGATTCTAGAATCACGATTCGACACACGACTTGAAAACGAGATAATTTTATCCGACGATCATAGGTTGAAATCTCATTGGAATCATACCTTTCGAGACAACAGGGTCGGTATCGAGTCGTGTGTCAAATCGTGATTTTAGAATCTCCCTGCTGTACCTTTTTTTCCAGCAAAACCAGTACGCTGTTGAAATCGGAACGGCAAATGACAGTAAAATCAGCACACTTAAAAACTAGTACTGGCAGTTGATTACGGAACATAGCCTCGAGTATGCTTGATTATCCTCGCGAAAAATTGCCTATTGTATTCGATAGGGACTCCTCTGACCTCTAGTGCATATTGGTAAAAAAAATCCCCGATTCCAGGCAAAAAACGAAACCCCAAATTTCCTCAGTCTCATTTCGAATTTCAGCTTTCCAGTGACGAATTTTAACGTGCTCCACATACTCTGGTGCTCCAAACAACTGTTGTTTCACTGGAACGCACCCTACGCGAGAACGAGAGAGGAAAAACAAAAAGTTTAGTTGCGCGAAATTCTGAAGCACTGGAACGCCTATGAAGAGCTCGGGGTGCTCTAGAGTAGTTCAGGAGTACTTGAAATGTGTCACTGGAAAACGACTCGGTTTTGAAGATATGAAGGCTGGGATCACAAGTAGAATTCTACTTTCATGACGTCATCCGCTACCTATTTATCGTGTACAGTACAGGCGATGATAAGGGTTCTGTCGACTTTTGGGGGCCGATTCTCTGGCCATGGAGTAGAGCTCCCAGAGAGAACAAATTTTTCGTCTTTGTCGTTCTCTTAAACTTTCCGATTATGATGACAGGGACAAAAAATTCGTTCCATCGGGAGCTCTACTCCCTTAGACCAGAATCCGGCCCCTGAGGATAAAACGAAAAAAAATCTTTCTCAATTATATTCAAGTGTCTTTGAAACATATACAATTTGTTCAATTATCAATATCCATAGTAGATTCAGTAGGAATTTTGTCACTCTCAGGTTCATTGGCAACTTCAAGATTTGATTTCTTTAAAGTAGATTCCTCCTGATTAATAATTTCCTTTTTTTTGCTGCTATTCACCAAAAATGATAAACTAAACCTTCTCAATTTGAAATTTTGTAAAAACCTCAGTTCTCCATTCCAGTTTTTCAATTGTTTCAGTTGTACCGGATTCAATAAATCGCACAGTTCTAAAAATATTTCAAATAATTTCAGGGATTGCTGCGTTTATGCACTTACCAATTCCACAAGTTTTAAACTCTTCTTTTTCTCCCTTTACAGTCATATTTATTATATCTTCTCGGTTTGCATGTTGTCTATTCTTTCTCTGACCAATTGAATGTTTCAACTTTATTTGTTCCAATTCATCGTCAAATCGACCTGAAATAAAGTTACTTGTTAAGAATAATTGGGTCATGCCCAAAAATCGTAAACTAACAGGATTGCCCATCCTAATAAGGCATATATTTGCTAAGTCTTGAGTTGGCAAATGGTCTGCGAGTGACGTCATGATCAGCAGCTGATAATTGTGACGTCACCCGGAGACCTAGATGGATTGCTTGCAATTCAGGCTGTGCTTGTGAATTAATTTTTTCGTCGATTTTAAATGTAGAAAAGGTGATTTTAACGTTTTTTGTGTTTTAAATTCGGATAATGATGTTCTTGGGTCATACCTAAGTATTTCAAAATCAACTGTTCAATCTCAGAAGGCGAACAAGTATCTTTTTCTTGATCCAAATTGTCTCTAAACCAAACCAATTTTTCGCCAAGCAGATTTTGTTTGATGTTCGAGGAAAGTTTCGACTTTTCTTTTGTAGTTTGTCTGAAAATAACAAATTGAAATAAAATCTTATTTGATTATCATTTTACTTTACTTTTTCATCTGTTTGGCTAGGGCTTTGGTTTTCCTGCTGTTCGGATGCTTACATTTCTCCAATTGTCTTAGTTTCGGCTAGAAAACAAAGTTCTTATTGGTTTTTTTTTTGTGAAATAAATTTAGTTGCTTACCATGTTATTTTAAAAAATTACAGAAACTGTATAAACAAACCAAGATCCAACAGAGCAACAACATGAAAAAGTTAACCTAAAAAAATTTCACATCTTTGTGATATTACAGATTTCTGCAAATTACCTCGTTGCTTTCGTGTTTTGATAATAGGAGTTTAGATCAGGCTCAGAGTTATGATGTTTGGAGCAGGTCTAGCAGATACAAATGAAAACGTCTAAAGAGAAAAGGAATCATCTTTCAGCGTTATTTGTTTGCTCATTGAGAATAATCTTGGGTTCTAGCGCATTACCATACGCTTGTTTGGAGTAATGGGGTCCAACTTGGAGTGGATCTAGTAGATAAATGAAAACCTGATGTTCCGCTCTTAAATGTCAAGAGTGTCAAAATATCAAAAATTAAAAATTAAAAAATTCACAAAAATCAAAATCAAATCTTTTCAAAGAATTTTATTGCAGTAATTTACACAATTTTATAAAACACTTTCAAGGTAACCCGAGAACCAACGGAGTCAGGTTTGTGTAACGTAGAATCAATTATTTATTAGTACACTTTAGGTGTTGTTTTTCATTGGAACTTGAAAAATTAACCTGGAAGTAGTATAAAATCTTATTAATAATTCTTTGATCATCTAAAACAAGAAAAATGTTGAAGACGTGGATAATTTGTATAATAATAGCAATAGCCCTACCAAACCCTGGCCTTGGAGGTCCTGTGCCTGAACCCCAAAAAATACCGAACACAACTCTCGATGTTGTATTGCAAAAGTTTCCCAGTTTGGACAAAAGCAAGTTAGATCCAAACCTTATCGATGTACTGAATAAAACGTGTGCAGATTGGCAAGCAATAAATTCAACAAGTTCTGTAACTAGGCCGGGAGATAGAAATGCCCAATGTCTTGTCCTATATGAAAGTTTGGCCACGTTTTGTTTAAAATTTGGCGAGTCGTTACCTAAGTACTTGGGTTACATTCCAAGCCTTGTGCCCAAAAATTTGAATGTTACAATACAAAATATTTGTTCAGATACAGACGGTTTATATTCTTTAAAAGATGCTGAGCACAATATTTCCAACATATTACAGCCAGAAACGAAACCTATAAATTGTTACTTATTATGTAGCGGTTTTGGATATAAAGGTGCTACAATAATACATGATACTTGTAAATATTCCTACTTTTTCACATCATTTGAGGCTAGTAAATTTTTGGGAGATATAAATGCAAGGTTGAATTCAACAGTCTCACAAAATAAAATCGAACCCCAGCCAGTAAAAGCTGAAGTGCCTGAAACTGCACAAGAAAATCAAGTAGTGCAAACCACAAAACAAACTGTAAAAGTAGATATAAATGCACAAGCAGTCAAAGAGGATCAAAAAAATGCTGAAGTAAAGGTCGAGGCTCCTGCAAAAAGTAAAAACATAAATGATGTACTTGAAGAAGTAGCTGGAAAACCAGATGTATCACCTGAAAATGTAAATCCCGTAGCTGAAAACCCAGATTCATTGGCTGAAAAACCTGATAAAATAGCAGATGCACAAATACCAGCCGCAGTAGCTGAACCACCAGCTGCAGTAGCAGAGAATCCTTTAGAAGCAGAAGAAAAAAAGTAAGTATATTTTTAATGACAATAATGAGGTTTTCATAAACTGTATTTTTTCAGAAATATCCCTGCACCAAAAGTTCCCAGTAACAAAAATGAACTACCAGCTGATGCTGCAAATAACAATTCTTTGGAGAGCAACGCGAACCAAGACGATATGGAGAATGAAGAAGCAGAAGAAGCAGCTCTAGCTCAAGAAGAAGCTAATGGCAAGGCTGAACCTGTTATGCCCGAAGAAATTGGTAAGGATTGATCAATTTTTAGATGTTTTTTTTTTCAAATTTGCTATCTTGTAAAATATTTTTTAAGTCATATAAAATATTGACCTTTTTAATCTCAGTGACAATCAATGTGAAAGTTGTCACAAAAGAAACGATAATGAACATGATGTGTATTTGTATAAGCGGCATATTTGTTTTTCTCTTATCAGTTCAAAAAAAGGCTCATTATTTGAAAAATTCAAAAAGTCAGCACAAACATTTAATTTCAAAAATAACCAGCTTAGGGGCCTCTGACAGCACATATGAATGACATTATATCCACAGGAGATTTTCCACAACATTGGAAAAAAGCAGTTGTTATACTTACCTATATTAAAAAAGGGTAACAAAAATCTAGTAAAAAACCACATACCACATAGCGAGACCTGACACTGATGTGAATGTATGAAAAAAATCATTGCTAAAGAACTCCTTGAAGCTCATATTTTACCACTCTAACGACATGGTTTTCCATCCAAAAAATCCATTGTTACGAATCTCCTAACCTAACTCAATATGTGGACAAGGGCAGATGCTGAGAATGGTCAAATTGATGTAGTTTCTTTTTCTACTTTGATTTTGATAAGAGACCATATACATAGGGACTTATCATACGAGCTATATCATTCTGGAATCAGAGGCGATTTTCTGTGACTTCCTGAGAAATTCCCAAGCGGCAAACCACCTAGGAATTCTTTGCCAAAAATGTGGGGAATTTAGAGGAATTTGTGGGAAATTTAGAGGAATTTGAAAGAACTCATCGGAATTTATGAGAATTTGGTGAATTTATAGGGAATTTGGAGGAATTTATGGGCAATTTGGGAGAATTTGTGAGGAATTTAAAGAAAATTGGAGGGTCATAACGTCACTGAGGTTCACATTCTTATCATAAGAAATAGTAATAAATGGAAATTCAAAAAAAAATCTATTTTTGTGTTGGACGTTGGATATTCATTTTTATTAAAGAAATCCTCCCAAAATTAGACTACATGATTTACAGATCCAAATTTAAAAAATTCAAAAGTTTTTGTAGGTTGATTTCCAAGATTTTTCATGTTGCTGTTTTCCACTGAAAAATGTTGAAATTTTGGGAAAATGAGCTTCTCACCTTCCTCTTTGCATACAAAAAGTTTCAAAATTTTCCCTTTACTAGTTTTCCAGGATAACTTTAAAATGTGTGAGACTGTATTTTCAACTAATTCAGTTTTTATAGGTTGATTTCCAAGATTTTTCATGTTGCTGTTTTCTGCTGGAAAAATTTGAAATTTTGGGAAAATGAGCTTTTCACCTTTCTCTTTGCACGAAAAAAGTTTCAAAATTTTCCCTTCACTAGTTTTCCAGGAAAACTTTGAAATGTGTGAGACTGTATTTCCAACTAATTCAGTTTTTGTAGGTTGATTTCCAAGATTTCCCATGTTGCTGTTTTCCACTGGAAAAGTTGGAGATTTTAGGGAAATGAGCTTCTCACCTTCCTCTTTACATTCAAAAAGATTCAAAATTTTTCCTTCACTAGTTTTCCAGGAAAACTTTGAAATGTGTGAGACTGTATTTTCAACTAATTCAGTTTTTGTAGGTTGATTTCCAAGATTTTTCATGTTGCTGTTTTTTACTGGAAAAATTTGAAATTTTGGGAAAATGACCTTCTTACCTTCCTCTTTACATGCAAAAAGTTTCAAAATTTTCCCTTCACTAGTTTTCTAGGAAAACTTTGAAATATGTGAGACTGTATTTTCAACTAATTCAGTTTTTGTAGGTTGATTTCCAAGATTTTTCATGTGGCTGTTTTCTACTGGAAAAATTTGAAATTTTGGGAATATGACCTTCTCAGTTTCCTCTTTACTTGTAAAAAGTTTCAAAATTTTCCCTTCATTAGTATTTCAGGAAAACTTTGAAATGTGTGAGACTGTATTTTCAATTAATTCAGTTATTGTAGGTTGATTTTCAAGATTGCTCATGTTGTAATTTTCTACTGGAAAAATTTGAAATTTTGGGAAAATGACCTTCTTACCTTCCTCTGTACATGCAAAATGTTTCAAAATTTTCCCTTCACTAGTTTTCTAGGAAAACTTTGAAATATGTGAGACTGTATTTTCAACTAATTCAGTTTTTGTAGGTTGATTTCCAAGATTTTTCATGTGGCTGTTTTCTACTGGAAAAATTTGAAATTTTGGGAATATGAGCTTCTCAGTTTCCTCTTTACTTGTAAAAAGTTTCAAAATTTTCCCTTCATTAGTATTTCAGGAAAACTTTGAAATGTGTGAGACTGTATTTCCAACTAATTCAGTTTTTGTAGGTTGATTTCCAAGATTTTTCATGATGCTGTTTTCCACTGGCAAAGTTTTAGATTTTGGGGGAATGAGCTTCTCACCTTCCTCTTTACATGCAAAAAGATTCAAAATTTTCCCTTCACTAGTTTTCTGGAAAACTTTGAAATGTGGGAGACTGTATTTTCAACTAATTCAGTTTTTGTAGGTTGATTTCCAAGATTTTTCATGTTGCTGTTTGTTACTGGAAAAATTTGAAATTTTGGGAAAATAAGCTTTCCACCGTCCTCTTTACATGCAAAAAGTTTCAAAATTTTCCCTTCGCTAGTCGCTAGTTTTTCAGGAAAACTTTGGATTGTGTGAGACTGTATTTTCAACTAATTCAGTTTGTGTAGGTTGACTTCCAAGATTTTTCATGTTGCTGTTTTCTACTGGAAAAATTTGAAATTTTGGGAAAATGAGCTTCTTACCTTCCTCTTTACATGCAAAAAGTTTCAAAATTTTCCCTTCACTAGCTTTCTAGGAAAACTTTGAAATATGTGAGACTGTATTTTCAATTAATTCAGTTATTGTAGATTGATTTCCAAGATTCCTCATGTTGTTATTTTCCACTGGAAAAATTTGAAATTTTGGAAAATGAGCTTCTCACCTTCCTGTTTACATGCAAAAAGTTTCAAAATTTTCCCTTCACTAGTTTTCTAGGAAAACTTTGAAATGTATGAGACTGTATTTTCAATTAATTCAGTCTTTGTAGGCTGATTATCAAGATTTTTTTTGTTGCTGTTTGCTCGAGTGTTTGCTACTGGAATGATTTGAAATTTTGGGAAACTGAGCTTCTCACCTTCTTCTTTACATGCAAAAAGTTTCAAAATTTTCCCTTCATTAGTATTTCAGGAAAACTGTGAAATGTGTGAGACTGTATTTTCAATTAGTTCAGTTATTGTAGGTTGATTTCCAAGGTTGCTAATGTTGCAATTTCCTACTGGAAAAATTTGAAATTTTGGAAAAATGAGCTTCTAACCTTCCTCTCTACATGCTAAAAGTTTCATAATTTTTCCTTTTTTTAGAGAAATTTGTGGGGTATTTGGAGAAGTTCGTGGTGGGGTATTTGGAGGACTTTGTGATGAGAAATCTGGAGGAATTTGCAGGAATTTTGAGGAATTATGCATAAAAAATTCCCATTTGAGGAATTGTTTGCACCAATTTTGGGATGGTGGTTTACTCTTTGGAAATTCCTTACTTTATTTATTTATTTATTCAATATCCTCTACATCTTGCATTTACAGAGAATGTCTAAAACTACAAACTATCCAACAACCCTAACATCCTAATCTACTTTGTACCTCCTTCTTATATAAAATATCACAATTTGTTTCATTGATTATATCACACATTCTTACTATAGGTGAGGTAAATTGTAAACTGTCTATTTGTTCTTGGTGCATCATAAGTCAATATCTGTGACTGTCTAGTTCTCAAATCTGGTACTCTTATATTTATCAGGCTCAACAGATATTCATCTTTCCCATGATAATGAAGAAGTTTATACAAAAACATTATGTTAAAATATTTTCTTCTTACATCTAACTTACTGTAACCACGTTGAAAATACACACAACTGGGTAAACCCTGAATCTCTTAAAGTGTATTCTTTTCGAAAATTTCTTTTGACAATTTTCTATTGCATAGATTGACCTCTGATAACATGGATCCCATAGAACTGATCCATATTCTAGCTTTGTTTGCTAGTGAATTATACAAAATTTTGACTGTAGAAATGCCTATATCTTTTGTGTTACGATAGATAAACCCTATAATCTTAAGTGCCTTACCCACTATTTTGTCTACATGATCATTAAAGCTGTCATATAAAACACCAAAGTCTCTTATTGAGTTTTCCTCTTTCAACTTCAACAACAACTTTATTGTTTAAAAAGTACTACTTGATTTTGTCTATTTTTTGCTGTAAGCCTTTTCAAAATTTCAAATTATTGGATGTACCTTTCAGGTAAGAACAAGAATATCATTCAGTTGAGTAGTCTGTATGCAGTGGCGTACATACGACAAGGCTCAGTGTCTTGAGACCCTTGCTTCTCTTGACATATTTGTGTGATCTTTACCAAAAACTGAAGACCAAATATGAATTGCTTGCAAATGACACAAGCCTATTCTGCAATCCACTATCGCAGTTTGCGGACCTCCTACTTGGAAATGCCATTGAACGACCTCAAGTGCACAGTTCTACATATTGGCCAAAATAACCCTGAACATGATTACGTCCTCCAAGAAACGTCAATTGAAAAAAAAATTGTGCCACAAAGACTTAGGAATAACAATCACATCAGACCCAAAATGGGAACAGCACATTATTGAAATGACAGAAAAAGCTGATTCAGTAATTTACCTATAAAGAAATGGTTCTGAACCTTTACAAAGCTTATGTAAGACGGATACGCAAATGGAACCCATATTACATCAAAGACATTGAGTGGTATGGATAAAAAAAGAATTACCTGCTACTACAAGATTAGTATATTCTACGCAGTATTAACTTTAAAAAGAAAAATTTACTAATTTCCGGTAGTTTCGAAATGTAGTAGTAGCAGATACTTCGTTTTTATACCTGATGAACTCAAAGGATGACCCTACAAGAGCCGCCTCAACCAACTAAACATAACTACGTTAAAAAAAAAAAAAAGAATGGCCTTATCGAAATTTACAAAATACTGAATGGTCACTATGCATGTGACATTAACTTCTTCCTCACCACCAACACCAGAGGACGTAACCAGAAACTTGAGAAGGAAAGATGAAACAAGTTACTGAGAAGAATTTTTTTGACAAAGAGTCGTTTATCAGTGAAATAGACTTAGTCATGACATAATTAGTGCAACATCAGTAAATTATTTCAAAAACTGTTTGGATCTAGAAATGAGGGCACATGAGGTTTAATTTGAGAACAAATTATGAAAAACTTAAAGACTCATCTGTTACCCATCCGCCTACCACTGACATCCCTAATAAATTATTATAAGCACCTCAAATTTTTAATAAATAACAAAAATTGTTTACATCATTATTTTATTCCAGCTGAAATTAAAACTCCATCTATCAAAGGAAAACCAAACACCGTCGAAGATGACTCAGTCAGCAGCTACAACATCCCCGAAGACGATATGGACGGAGATTCGTATTTCTTTTCCTATTTCACAGTGCTTATGTGCTTGGTGATTGTTGGTTACGTAGGATATCATAACAGACAAAAGGTATGATGTACTCTATATGTTTTAATTTTTGTTATTTATTTCTTCTTTTTTCTCCAAACAGATTCTTGCTCTAGTTCTGGAAGGAAAAAGAGGCAAAAGAACTGGAAGGCAAGCCAGAAGACCAAACTCTTCGAATTACCATAAGTTAGATAGTAATCTTGAGGAGGCCATATCATCTTCTTGTACAAAAAATGCCAGCAATGTAATTTATTAGTTTTTCTAAGGGGTCTACATTGAAATCATTTTTAGCTAAAGAAAAAGAATTTTCCACTTATTTCTCAAATCAGTTAATAATTTTTGACTATAGCTAAAACATGATATTTTGATGTAGTGGTATTTTGAACAATAATACTAATGATTTGCATTTATTTTGGGACTGAAATTTTGATGTTTATAAGCGAGTTTTTTTCACAGCTAATTATCATTCTTTTTTTGGTTGGGCCAGTGAATACAACGTTGCAATAAAAAGGGCGATATGTTGCCTTGACCACTTTCCTCTGGCATAGTATTGATGTTTTGGTTTTATAAAAAAATAAATACAATATTTTTTAGAATATTTTTCACTGTTCTACTGCTCAATGTTCTAAAACAATAAACATTGAAACTCGAATTGAATGGTTGTTACACAAACAGTTTAATCATTGCTGTTGTATTGGAACCCTCACTGCTTTTGTGGCAATTGCATATTTCCAGTATATCGTTTTTCAATTTTTTAATAAATTTGGCAGGTTTGTTGGTGAATATAATTCATTATTTTTTTGGGTGGGATTATAATAGAAACTGAATTGATCATGGGTTAGGTACTTTATAATAAAATTTCCCTCCAGTTTTTTGTTTGTATATTTGTGATATAATATCTTTAGATATGCCTAGATTTAATAAAAATGAATGGAAAAAATGGGATAATTTTAATTTTTATTTATTCACACACGGGACTAGCCCATTTCATTTAACAAAATGGTATAAAAATTGAGTTAATTCTATATAAAATGTAATAATAACAATACATTTGAAATGAAACTAAGTCTATATGGTTTACATTCTAGCCAATGGCAGAGTTTGTAGTACCTACTAATGATGAAACATCAATTTTTCTTGTGTCGTGAAAATTTGATCATTTAGGACCTACCTCTCTCTTCAGGGTTTGTGATCCTCTACTAGAATAACATTCACTTAAAATTTCAGATCTGATTACCTTATAGTTTATTAGAAGGTAAATAAACCGGGCCCAATTGCACCTAACAGGTACAAAAACCACATGCATTATCATTTTTGTCAAATAATTCAATCAGTTGACATTTTTTTTTTGAATTTTTTTTCCACTTTTTGTATCCACAAAAGAGTTAAAAATTCAACCAAAAACCCTAAATATTGATGATTCAACAACAAGTATTAACTATTCAAACAAATTCACAGTTGATTTTTCCAATAACATAATGGACGACCATCGTTACCACGACGGATGCATCCGCAATATCGTTAAAGAAATTATGCGAGAATGTAACGCCAAAAAAATCCATGTTAACAAAAATTTCGTACTATTTTTGACTCAAATGTTGCTTCTGGATCCGAACTGGGGAATCGACGAAAACTTTTTCCAGCAAAGAGAAAACGTACAGTGTTTCGTCAAATACGTGATAGAGAAAATTATTTGCAAACAGGACTCCGTAAAAGTGGTGACTTTGAGAATGCAGTTTTATTTTACATGCAGCATTCAAAATCTGCAGTACATCATTGATATAACCAGAATGGACATTAAAAATCGTTTAAAGGTATTACATGATGATATTTTAGCACATGATAAAGTGGACAACAGGCAAAATATTGACACACTTTATAAGAAGATTATTTATTACATATGTTTTTTATCTGGATTAGGTAATCCAGAAGTTTTCAGAGTCTTCGAGGAAGTAAGGGTTGCATTAAAAAGCATAATAAGTGATGAAGATCTAAAAGACTTTGCGAACAAATCAAAAAATGAGAAATGTATTCAGTTGGAATATTTTATGAAAATTGTAAGCGGCATCAGATTATTTAACAAATACTGCGATAAGGGAGGCCAAGGAATTACCAATTTACCTTATTTAGTAGCACAATCTTTGGATGTTTTAAAAGAAAAATCTGAAGATTCAATTTCGTTTATTGCGAAAAAAGTTAATTTGCTAGTTATCGCAGTTAAAAAAAGCTATTCATTTCAATCGAGCTACAGGAGTTATAAAATGTGCTTGCAAAATACACTTCGATTTAATGAATCATTGAGACTACCTGATATTCATTATATGCAAAATCTTTTGGTTTTCTTCAAACAATATGAAATGCTAGTTAAACGCATCGAGGTACATTTAGATGTAATATTCAACAGATGTGATTCAACTTTAAATGAAATAGAAGATTTAATGAAAACCATTTATGATACAGTCTATATGAAAATCGGTGTCCTTGCAGAAATAGTATTTCCATTGTTTGAGAAGCTATGGTTGTTCTGGGAAAAATTTCAAAATGAAACTTTTGTCATAGCTAGGCTCAACGAAATCATGATAGAGTTATTCGCTTTTTCAAAACTAACAGGTTTCCATAAATTTGATATAACGGTTACACCAACACATGAATCGGCATTAAGCATTGACAATGTTTCTGTAAACATAATATCATTTAATCCTGAAATAAAAGTCATCAGAAACTGTATAAGCCAATATAAATTGCAGTACCTGGGGTTTTGTTGCTGGATGCTAGTAGAGACTGATGGCGGCCTAATACCAGGAAATACCAAAATGGGTATAGTGAAATATCATGGCAGATATTATGCATTTTCTTGCTATGAAGCCTATTATATGTTCTACAAAAATCCGTCCATGTATGTAAATGGTGTTCTTGAACTCGGCAGAAGGCATCCAGAACTTATCAATTTATTTCACCTACAACAAGATTTACAAAAATGTTCCAACACTAAAAAACTTATGAAAGCTAAATTGGAAATCAAAAATCGCGAAGACAAACAAATTGAAACAGAGGACAGTCAGGAATCTTATATCGATCCCAACTATAAATGGAACGTTTGGGACTTAAAAAGGGAAGTATTAATCCAGACGAATTTGTTACGTTGTAAAACCCTTTCCACCCAAACTATTAAGACAAATAGCCAAAATAACATTAGAACACAAACTTATAACACTGAAAAAGCGGTGGCTTGCCAAACACCTCAGGACATTACCACTCAAGTACCAAAACCGTCAGTATTTTTACATGGTTTAAGAAGCAGAAAGGATGACAAACAATGGAAAATAGATTTAACGTTGTTTGAAGATGATAAGGAATGTCTGAGTTAAATTTATTGAAACGTTTTTAGGCATATTTTAAAATTGATTGTAAATTATTCAAAATAAAAACTGTGTTCTATTCTTGGTTTTCAAGAAATTGTAGATTATAAGAGAATTTTGCTGTTAGAAGCCAAAATACCTTATTGATTTTTGGTGCAACTAGTTCTGCTATTGTCAACTACTTAAGTAAATACCACTCTGTACATCAATTTTATTGAAGTGTGTCGACGAGTCAGCATTAATTTGGTATAAATACCGCGCCGAGATCCATTACCGGCAGACTCAGGCTAGTGCAAAGTACCTCAATTGGGAAAAGCCCCTCTAGCTAAGTCTCCTCCCAGTGCAAACTACCTTTATTGGGAAACACCCTTCTGAACCTGTGCCAAACCCAGCTTCAGTCTTTAGTCACGCTAGGTGTACAGAATGTACATAATACAGAGTGGCCTAAGTAGTACGTCACTCCATAGAAGAGACATCATGGTATTATTCCTAGGGTAATATTACCTACTCTATATATTTAATACATATCTTATTGTACCTATACTAAGCGAGTTTCTCTCTGTTGTGACATCCCAGGACGAAACATATAGTAGAGTGCTCCTTTTTTGACTTTTGTTAGCGCGTCGGAGTTACAAACTGAAATTTTCACAGAATGAAGGTTTTATTATGTTAATTCAAAATCCCAATATAGATCAATCGAAAAAGCGGGTCCAAATTAGTGGAAAACAACTCAATTCCAAATGCCCATTTTAAACAGAAACAAAAATGAAAAGAAAATCCTATTTTTGGCTCTGGAAAATTTTAAAAATCCTGACATGGTCATGAAGAATTGCCCATATCTTTGGTAAATTTCGAGCAAATTGAAATAAATTATACATTATTGGAAAGAGCCTTAAATTCTCTATAAATCTGTGGAAAATTGAGCTCGATAGCTCGGATAGTTTTCGAGCAATAGAGCCTCAAAGTTGCCTTTCAGTCCAAATTTTGTCAAAAACTTCAAATTTAATTTGCTCAAAAACTAGAAATCTGGAAATATTGTAAATTAAAGGCCATTTAGAACTTGATAAAAGCTACAAATTCTAGAAATTTTAATGCAATTTGCTCAACGGTTACCGAGCAATTGAGGTTTGAATATTTTGAAATCAGAATTCAAAGGGGTACCCTTATGAAAAATTCGATTTTTTTATTTTTCAGTTTTGCTCAATTTTGACTTTATGAATCGATAGAGCGGGTCAAAATTAGTGGAAAACAACCCTGATATCAATTCCAAATGGCCATTTCAAGCAGACACAAAAATAAAAAGAAAATCCTATTTTTGGCTCTGGAAAATTTTCAAAATCCTGACATGGTCATGAAAAATTGCCCATATCTTTGGTAAATTTCGAGCAAATTGAAATAAATTATACATCATTGAAAAGAGCCTTAAATTCTCTATAAATCTGTGCAAAATAGAGCTCGATAGCTCGGATAGTTTTTGACCAATCGAGCCTCAAAGTTGACTTTTAGTCCCAATTTTGTCAAAAACTTCAAACTCAATTTGCTGAAAAACTAAAAAATCTGGAAATATTGTAAATTACAGGCCATTTAGAACTTGATAAAAACTGAAAATTCTGGAAATTTTAATGCAATTTGCTCAACGGTTACCGAGCAATTGAGGTTTGAATATTTTGAAATCAGAATTCAAAGGGGTACCCTTATGAAAAATTCGATTTTTTTATTTTTCAGTTTTGCTCAATTTTGACTTTATGAATCGATAGAGCGGGTCAAAATTAGTGGAAAACAACCCTGATATCAATTCCAAATGGTCATTTTAAGCAGACACAAAAATAAAAAGAAAATCCTATTTTTGGCTCTGGAAAATTTTCAAAATCCTGACATGGTAATGAACAATTGCCTATATCTTTGGTAAATTTCGAGCAAATTGAAATAAATTATACATTATTGGGAAGAGTCTCAAATTCTCTATAAATCTGTGCAAATTGAGTTCGATAGCTCGGATAATTTTTACGCAATTGAGCCTCAAAATTGACTTTTAGTCTAAATTTTGTCAAAAACTTCAAACTCAATTTGCTCAAAAACTAGAAATCTGGAAATATTGTAAATTACAGGCCATTTAGAACTTGATAAAAGCTACAAATTCTGGAAATTTTAATGCAATTTGCTCAACGGTTACCGAGCAATTGAGGTTTGAATATTTTGAGATCAGAATTCAAAGGGGTACCCTTAGGAAAAATTCGATTTTTTTTATTTTTTAGTTTTGCTTGATTTTGACTTTATGAATCGATAGAGTGGGTCAAAATTAGTGGAAAACAGCCCTGATAACAATTCCAAATGGCCATTTTAAGCAGACACAAAAATAAAAAGGAAATCCTATTTTTGGCTCTGGAAAATTTTCAAAATCCTGACATGGTCATGAAAAATTGCCCATATCTTTGGTAAATTTCGAGCAAATTGAAATAAATTATACATCATTGAAAAGAGCCTTAAATTCTCTATAAATCTGTGCAAAATAGAGCTCGATAGCTCGGATAGTTTTTGACCAATCGAGCCTCAAAGTTGACTTTTAGTCCCAATTTTGTCAAAAACTTCAAACTCAATTTGCTGAAAAACTAAAAAATCTGGAAATATTGTAAATTACAGGCCATTTAGAACTTGATAAAAACTGAAAATTCTGGAAATTTTAATGCAATTTGCTCAACGGTTACCGAGCAATTGAGGTTTGAATATTTTGAAATCAGAATTCAAAGTACCCTTATGAAAAATTCGATTTTTTTATTTTTCAGTTTTGCTCAATTTTGACTTTATGAATCGATAGAGCGGGTCAAAATTAGTGGAAAACAACCCTGATATCAATTCCAAATGGTCATTTTAAGCAGACACAAAAATAAAAAGAAAATCCTATTTTTGGCTCTGGAAAATTTTCAAAATCCTGACATGGTAATGAACAATTGCCTATATCTTTGGTAAATTTCGAGCAAATTGAAATAAATTATACATTATTGGGAAGAGTCTCAAATTCTCTATAAATCTGTGCAAATTGAGTTCGATAGCTCGGATAATTTTTACGCAATTGAGCCTCAAAATTGACTTTTAGTCTAAATTTTGTCAAAAACTTCAAACTCAATTTGCTCAAAAACTAGAAATCTGGAAATATTGTAAATTACAGGCCATTTAGAACTTGATAAAAGCTACAAATTCTGGAAATTTTAATGCAATTTGCTCAACGGTTACCGAGCAATTGAGGTTTGAATATTTTGAGATCAGAATTCAAAGGGGTACCCTTAGGAAAAATTCGATTTTTTTTATTTTTTAGTTTTGCTTGATTTTGACTTTATGAATCGATAGAGTGGGTCAAAATTAGTGGAAAACAGCCCTGATAACAATTCCAAATGGCCATTTTAAGCAGACACAAAAATAAAAAGAAAATCCTATTTTTGGCTCTGGAAAATTTTCAAAATCCTGACATGGTCATGAAAAATTGCCCATATCTTTGGTAAATTTAGAGCAAATTGAAATAAATTACTCATTGGAAAGAACCTCAAATTCTCTATAAATCTGTGGAAAATTGAGCTCGATAGCTCGGATAGTTTTTGAGCAATTGAGCCTCAAAGTTGCCTTTCAGTCAAAATTTTGTCAAAAACTTCAAATTCAATTTGCTCAAAAACTAGAAAGCTGGGAATATTGTAAATCACCATCCACTTAGAGCTTAATAAGAGCTATAAATGCTGAAAGTTTTAATGCAATTTGCTCAATGGTTACTGAGCAATTGAGGTTTTGAATATTTTGAAATCAGAATTCAAAAGTATATAATACGTAAAAGGGTTTATTGTATTGTACAATTGGCGAGAGAGAAAGGGAGCAACGGAGAAAAGTAAGAGGGAAGAATACTGGTGCAGCAGGAGAGCGGGCTGTCGCGGCTCGAAGAAAATTACTTTTTTCTCCAAACGTCAGAAAAACGTCACGAGAGGTCTGTTCCTACAGGAGTCTCTGACAGTTTGCAAACTGTCAGTAAGCATCGCCCATATATGTTTTCAATCCTGTCGTTACAAGATAAATCTGTGACTCAGCTGAGCGATTGTTTCTGACAGGTTGCAAACTGTCAGAAACTCCTGTGGGAACAGACCTTTTGTTAACCCCTGTCAAGATGTCAGAAATTTGATTTCTATGCTGCTAGGCAAATCCAGCGGGTTAACACCTGTCGAGGTGGTAGAAACTTAATTTCTATGCTGCTTGGCAACCCCAGCGGCAGCAAAAGTACTTTTAGTGCCGCTGGAGCGGCAGTAGAAGTACTTTTAGCGCCGCTCGTACTTTTACTGCCGCTCAACCATTCACTTGCCCCCGAGCTTACCCCATTCGTTTGGAGAAAAAATAGCGTGTTGCATACGGAGTAGAAGCACTTTTTTGTGCTTCAGCAGTAAAAAAATAAAGCTTCTACTCCTAATACAACAATATACGATTTTTTATACTTAATTCTATATTTCTCTTAAAATTTGAGACAAAAATAATTATTCTTGCACATATATATTTTAGATACATGAAGCAAACTTTTTGGAAGAATAATTTTTTTTTATTTGAGCCTTTATTTCGGAGATAATGCGAGGTGAATGCAAAAATTAATATATTTCAATCAGATTTTGCTCAGGTTTGAACGGAGATATTTCAATTTTTAGTTATATTTTACCATAAGGGTCAATGTATTCGGCTCATTTCAAGCAATAATAAAAAATATAATTTGTACAAAAATATAGATAAATTTTCCATGAGAACACTCATAAATTACTATTCTTCACGTTTATGCAATAATCTAAATTTTTAAGTATACTGCCCTTTTGCCTGTTCTGATTTTGTATTACCTTGGGACTTTGAATTAGCATAGTAAAACCTTCATTCTGTGCAACTTTCAGCTTGTAACCCCGACGCACCCACAAAATTCATTTTAAGAAGTCTTTAACTGCGTTGGGCACTCTACTAGTATAGGGGTGACACTATCTTGCAAGACTAGTCCTTTACTGCTAAAAAAATCACATTAAGAATTTTCCATAGTCTCTCGCATTTGCCAGGATTCTTTTGTAACCTCTATGTCTGCGTAATTTTTTTTCATGCTTTGAAATTTTCTTCTCACATTTTCTGGGCTTAATAAATTAATGAAAAATACCTACTCCTTAGTTATAAAAAAATTATTTAATAATTCTACAATATACTAGCTAAGTCTATTTCATCACAGTCTGTTTTAACTTGGACAAACGCAATAACATAAAAATATACCTGACTAAGAAAACAATAAAATAAATTTGAGAAAAAAAAAACAACAAAATCAAATAAAAACAAACCTAAATGAAAATAATTGACATTGACCACTCTCATCCATGTGCGAGTATTTAAAAAATCATTAGAACAAACACTAAAAATAATTTTTGGCTATAATAAAGGTTCAATGCCCATTGACCATACAAGAAAACCATCTGTAGTGACAGTAACAAATGGTTCTCCGTTGTAAGTATTTGATGTACTAACCAAACCGCCAAAGCTTAACTTGGTTTCATCTGTAAAACAATAGATAAATATAATTGTTTAACAAAAATTTCAATTACCTAAATTCCATTTTAATCCCTTTGAACTCACTATGCAAGGCTCTCCAATAGGAATCAGAGAACACCACGCATTTTGATCCCTAAGAGTTTGTGGTATGGTAATTTTATGATTACCAGGCGCTAATAGCCATGTAAGTGAAGTTGAAGCTATTTGATAGATATTTTTGTTTTCCATAAATGCTGCAGCCTTAAATAAGGTATTAATATTGGCTAGAATTTGGTCCAAACGGCCTGAAGTATCCGCCAAGACATATATGCTATCTATCTATAAAAAGAAAATACATAATGCAAAATATGTTTGAAAAATATTAAACTACTCCACCTCTATTCCCTCATCATCACAGTGCTTTTGCAATTCCTTCAAACTTTTAGTGAAATCAGTTTCATTTTGTTCCGGTGTCTTGACAATTTTAGAATCTTTATTTTCAAAATATTGTAAAAGGCCTAGTGACAGTGAATCCATATCGCCAGTAATTAGATCTGGAGCATAAACATCAGACACCTGATATTCATGGGCTTGTACCCATGTCAACCATCTATCGAGGCCTCCATCTACAGTTACCCTAACTTTGGCTAAAAATTTATCGTTCAGAGGGAAAAATTGTTAAATATTATTATGTTTCTACCGTGAGCCCACAAATAAAGAATACGCCTATGATCAATGTTTAAGCTTATGCGGCAATTAAGTATTACAATGGCATAGTTTTGCTTGGCTCTGCAAATACTATTGAAAATGTCTTCACAGGGCGACCACAATTTTATATTGTTTTCAGTGGCATTCATTTTATTAAGTCTTAAAATCTGAAAATAAAAGTTCAAAAATGTGTAAAAAGAAGAATGTAGGTTTAGGTAAAGAAGAATAGAATAAATAAGTTCTATCATTATACTGGATGTTGAGATACAAAGGATGGAAGATGTAAGTTGTAAATAAGTAATGGAAAAAAATTCAAAACAAAATGCAATAGTATCTGTTTGTGACTTAGAGTGACCATCTGCATATAAATTGAGAGAGCCCTGAAGAGGTATGTATGACAGTAAGTTCATGTAGACTGGGAAGAGTGTCAGTCCCACAATTGAACCTTGGGGCACTCCGTGTACAATGTTTTCCATTTTACTTCGCATTCAACATAATGTAGTCTGCCCAACATAATCCCTAAACCACAATAGTGCTGAACCCTCGGCTGAACCTCCAATACCAGCTTTTCAAACTCCTATATGAGATTTTGTGATTTACTGTATCAAAAACTTTTCTTAAGTCCAGCGAGACAAGTACACACCCATAATATCTCTGATCAACCTTTTCATAAATATTTGTAATTAGGTCTGTAGTTGCTGAGGAGGTATGTGTTTTCTGAATCCATATTGACCCGTATACCAAAAATTTACTCCTTCCAAATAACTGGTTAATCTCATATTTACACAGGTCTCCAATACCTTAGACAAAGCTGGTAGCAAGGAAATGGGCCTGTAGTTTAGTTCTGTGCTATCACCACCCTAAACAAAGGGACAACCTTTGCCATTTTAAACAGACTTGGTACAGATGCAGTATTAAAAACAAGATTTATCAACTTACATAAAGTAGGCGATATTTTATTTTCCAATTTCTTGATTGTTACCTAAGATTGTTACAATGCCAAGGCTGTCAGTTCCAGGTGATTTTCCTGGTTTTAATTTGTTTATAACTGCAGTGACCTTCTCTGTAGTAGTCACAGGTTCCCACTGATTTATATAGGCATTAGAAGTTGGTTGGAATTGAGGGGAAAACATTGTTGAGGTCTGTTCTCACAGAAATTCGGACCAGTCAGAGCGTTTTTAATTCATGCAAATCAACCAATCAACAAACAGTTTTCTGACTATTTTGAACCAATGATAGTCGCTCTGACTGAACTTAACTTTGTACCAATGAGTGAGCGGTAAAGTGCATTCTAAAACACTAATTTTCAAGTGGTAAGTGGCACCCTTTACCGCATAGTGTGTGGTAAAGTAAAGTAGAGACTGCATAGTGTCCGGTAAAGTAAACATGGGTATTTACCCGGGTATTTAGAATCAAAAATCCCTCCTCTTCCAGAAATTTCAACAATATCTCCTTTTTTTGAAGACGCTCATAGGTAAACTTTTGTAACTAACAAATACAGAAAGTATCTCTTCCGCTGTTGCGTGCGAAAACTTATCACTTTTTGCATTTGTTAGGTACATAACTATTTCAAAACACATTGCAAAAAAATACGTTATATTGTTTACTTACAGTATCAATGGCACCAACCCTTTGTAGAGTAGAGACTATAAGTGAACGACAACCAATAAAAACAAATTTTACAGTCGAATGAGTTGTTAATTCATTGCCTATAAATATTTTCTAATTATTTTTTCAAAAATTTAGGGCAAATACATGACAATTGTTTGAGGTTATGTGGTTATTGATGTTTTTTTGACACTTCACTAGTGCAAGTCGCGAAATGAAATACCCTAAAATAGGCAGGGAGTTTAGTGCAAATGTGGAGTAGAACAAAGAACAATATTTGCAAACCTAGTGGAGTTGTGCTTTTAGAGTAAAAAAGTAAAATAACATTTTCGGCTTTACTGCTCCCAGGGCGCTGCCCGTCTACAAAAGGTAACGTCACAGATCTCTGCAGAAGTGCTCTGGGAGCGATTATAGTCCACAGCATTTGAAATCAAAAGCCGAACTCTACTTTTGATCAAACTCTCTGATCCATCAAATTTGACGGAGCAAGAAAAAGCGCTCCGTGCCAGATTTAAGGGCGCTCTATTGCTCATATCGAACACGTGAACTTCGCCGAATGCAACGCTCCGTTTCAAGCCAGAATTCATTCCGGATCGCTTCAAAGTCGAAAGCGCAGAGTGACAAAGTAAAAATAACAGTGTTCTACAGGGTGACTCATAAGCGCGGGGTGTTCGTTCGACCGCTGCTCCATGCTTACTGATAGGTGCGTTCGGAAAGGAAAAGAAAATTTACTCTGAGTCACCCTGTACTACTCTTCAAAGTGTAAAATCTTCAAAAAGTAAGCTAAAAAGTAACTTTTGGCTAAAATACTTTTGACTCTTTCTAGGAATACTCTTCTCATATTCTCATCTCATCTGCTTTTGCTTGTCTGCTTTTGACCTCACTTTTTTCTCTTGATTTAAAATGTTTGAAAAAAAAAAGAACGATGAAATCAGAAACCAGTCAGAGCGTTTTTGATTGGTCCAAATCGTCAACAACCGCAGTTTCCTGACTATTTTCAACCAATGAAATTCGCTCTGACTGGTTTGTGATTTCTGTGAAAACAGCCGCACAGCTTGTATTAAGGGCGGGTATTATAAAACTGCTTTGACAGTTAACTTGAAGTTAACTTTTTGAATTACATATTTTCCAATGAATTCTCAAAGTAGTTTTATAATACCCGCCCTAAATTTGTCATGTTTCGCTTTAAATAGTCCTTTTCACGTGGCTCCGGTTTAACATACCGCTCAAATTCGACTGATCTCGATGACGTCGCTTTGTAACCTGGACTGGACTGGGATCACGACATGAGACGTATTTTAGTGACCAGTGAACATCTTACTACACATACCATAGACCTAACTACTTCGTAGTAGTTAGGTCTATGCACATACTACGATTCATGACGTCATAGTTACCCAAATGACAGGTGTAGTATTTGACAAAGGGTTTAAAAGAGGACGCCATGATCGTTGTTTATTTGGATCTGTTGAATTTTGCAAAAATTTGCGTTTTCAAGTTTCAATATAATTTCTCCAGTAAAGATTTTCGAATATTTTCCAATAGATTGTGGCATTTTTGAATTTTATGGGGACCCCATGCCAAAAAAATAAATAAATAAAAATGCACTTTTGTGCACAAGTGAAGATCTTTTTTTTTGCAAGAAACCTCTAAAATAAAATCACAGAAAATAGAAAACCATGGCAAAATGGGAAAAAACAATCCTCTATTTATAATGGAAAGAACTGTGTCGGTAATCGTAGTCAGCTGTTTTACGCATATGCTCATTTTCGTGGATTAGAAAAAGATGCACTGACATACTACAACCGCAGTAACTATCCCCCGTAAAGCCTAGTACCCATAACTGCGAAATTCGCATTTTTTGACATTGCTTCGACAATTTGACGTTTGATACACACATAAAACGTCAAATTGTCAACGCAATGTCAAAAAAATGCGAATTTCGCAGTTATGAGTACTAGGCTTAAGATGGTTACCTACAAGTTTATAGCCGAGTTTTATGTTGTGTTTTATGCTGTGACGTCATAGTATGTCGGCCATGATCGCTAGAATGTAGTATCACAAGAAAATACAACATACTACTGGGTTAAAACTCTCGCTAAAATACGCCTAAGAAGAATTCTACTTTCATGACGTCATCCTCAATCTATTTATCGCGTACATTACAGGCGATGAAGGCGGTTGCTAGGCAATTTGACGTCATGAGAGTTGAATTCTAGTAGAATTCTACTTGTTGTGATCCCAGCCCCGGTTAGGAAACGGTATGTCATTTCTCTAATGGAGCTCTCTGGGTTACGTTTAACGGTGAGAACCTTGGTGAAATTTTGGTGCCGTTACTTAGAGGGTACATCAACCTATTAACACAGCACTGACGAAAATTGATAAATCAAAAATTAAATGATTTCCAAACCGTGCGTCATCACTTGACATACCGCTAGTACTAACCGTAGGTAGTAACCGTTTTGTAAGTCGGTTAGTTTAAGCCGGAGCCACGTGAAAAGGACTTTTGTATTTTATTTTATTTTCTTCGAAATTATAATGGAACAATGCCTTGTACCTCTGTGATTGAACTTTTTAACCAATTTATAATTGTTTTTTTTTTTATGTAGTCCTTTAGGTTTTTTTCGGACTTGGAACTGAACTGCGCTTGCGCGCATTTGTTCATATCGAACATATACAGGATGTCCCAGAGAAAACAGTAGTCCACCCCGCTTCATTGGATTTGGAATTAAAATCTAGAAAAACGCTCGGACACGTCGATTACTCCCACTAAAACATTAGTCTATTTCCAAGATTTTGATAAACTGTCATTTCGTTACGGATAAAAAATAATGAGACGAAATAGGCTCGTACAGCATATTTTTTTTAATTACATATTCTAAAAGAGTGTGTTGAGTTTATATCCGTTCACAATCCGATGTCCACTGGTACCGGTAAAATTTATCACCTTTCAATGCTATTTGATAGGGAAAGGTGATAAATTTAACTGACTGCACCTGTGGACATCGGATTGTGAACAGGATATATGCAAAATTTCATAACTTTCTGAGTCCTTGTTCATATTTAAATAATTTATCAAAGTACTCCAAAGGACCCCGCACATTTCTTATGGAAAAGTGATCTATGTGGAATTTTGCTGAATTTTTGATATTGTGTAGAGGAAGTCGTCCTTAACAAAAGTTACCATTGCGCTAATGTTTAATCCCGAACAGTTTTGATGATATGCATTAAAAACTTTTTAAAAGTGATACCCTTCAGTATGATGTCATCAGTTAGCTCACAGCACCGAAAATTATCACTATCCTTTCCACTTTTGACTTTGACTATATTCTTCTCCTTTTAACATTAAGAAATAAAAAGAAACAACAGGTACAAATGAAATTGCTATATGACTGACATGACAGCTGCTTTTTTTTCAGGGGCTTGGGCGCCCCAGGGCGCCATAGATCACGATTTTGGAATGTGTCAACCGTTCTTTTTAATCGGGGAGTCAAGCGTCCAAGGATGATATAATGATGATATACACTACTAGAGTCCGCGTCAAAACTAAAGAGTACGGTGTCGTCATATGCGCACAAACCCAATTTTGAAGACTAACCGAACTATCGTATTGATGAGTGCTGCTGCCGAACGCCAAGCACGTTGTTCATTGTCGTACGGCCAGCAGGCATATTTGTTCAGTTTATTTTCTATCCAAGTTTTGTCTAAAAAGATACCCCGCTGCTGGTTTCAGCTCACGACCGAGGTCACCGCAGACAGCGAGAGATAGACGAGGGAGAGAGATGCGACCCGCTTCGCGCAGCTTTCCGTGTCGTCACCGTATTCTTTACTGCTGACGCGGACTCTACTACTAAGAGTTTGTATTCTCCTTGGGGGTCGTCTATTCCCACCGCTAGCGCCTCAGCGAGGCGTCGAAGCTCTACAGCTCCAGTGTCCGAACTGTCACTAGTGTCAAATAATTATATGTCTCTTAGTTACCGTTCTTTTCAGAGCGTGCGCTGATGCGCCCCAGGGCGTCGAAGCCCGGGGTTTCAAAGCTGTGAAAAGAAAGCACCTGACATAAAGTTGAAGATTGCGGCAGGAGCTAGGTGTTAAGGGCCCATAGCACCGTCTAGCATTTTTAATTGATATCTTCAAAACTGTTCGGTATTAAACATAAGCGCAATGGTAACTTTTGTTAAGGACGACTTCCTCTACACAATATCAAAAATTCAGCAAAATTCCACATAGATCACTTTTCCATAAGAAATGTGTGGGGTACTTTGAAACACGCGATGACGTCACTGGATCCTCTCACGTTGGTCGTCGTGGTGCTGGTACGCCAGTCACTTCGACAATACGGGCATTGTTTTGCAAAATTTTGGTTTGGCATCGTTTAGACAAGTTTCAGTTTGGCATTTTATGTAGCTGGTAGAGGTTTGATGTTTTTCTTCCAAATCACTTTTGTTTATTTGAATAGTTCCCTGAGTTTCAATATTTTATAAGCACAATTATGGAAGTAGCACGCAAAAAGAAAAATTTAAAATATTCTATAGTTCCGCAAACTGTGTGCCAAACTGTCAATAGAAAATCAGTTGACATTGCGTTATGCAAAGCCGTGTATGACGGCCTTTAGCCTGTCTCGACTTGAGAGATGCTATGACGTCACAGAAATGAATTTCTGAGGCATAACTGTTTTAATATTAAATAACGCGTAACTTTTTTAATATTTATCCAATTGTGCTATACGTTAGTAATACTCCATAAAAATGTGAAAAACCGCGTTAATTTTTTTTTATTGAACGAGCCTATCTTTTAAAAAGAGGTATCGACACGACTCGATCTATCCCCTATTAAAATTTGGGGGGGTGTTCTCCCCCTATAGCTAGGGGGTTGAAAATACGGGGATGAAAAAAACTGAAAAATATTTCCCCCTCAAATCAAAAGTCCGAGTGTTTTTTCAGATTTTCATTTCAAATCTAAAAAATCGGGGTGGACTGTTTTCCCTGGGTCACCCTGTATAAATGAATTGCGCTTGCGCATTTGTTCATATAGTCCGAACAAACCTAATAGTATTTTTCGAAAAATGTTTGTTATAAAAAAATCATTATTTTTTTCTTCAACCTCCCAATCATTATAATGAGATTTGGTTTTTTAATTTTTAATTTTCATATTGACTTGTCTTTTTGTTTGTATTACCCAGACAATACACAAAGTCGAAGACGTCTTTTTCAGGTCTGTATTACGTCTGAACGTCTAAAGACCAAAAAAAGACATTTAGAATAAGATGTAAATTCACATCAGACAACTATTTGGTACAACTGTGCCTAAAACTGAATAATGGTTTCGTTGAAGACGTTTTTAGAATGTCTAGTCCCAAATAAGACGTCTTTAGGTAGACGTCTCTGTGAAATGTTGGGTTTTGCAACATATGACGTCTTTAACACGCCTTGAAGACATTTTAAAATGTTGTTTGTAGACAACTCAGGTCTCAGGGACTCCCACTCCTACAGAATTCGTTCCTCATTCAATTTAGCACTGGAATGGAAACCATTTAGAATACTATAGAAAACTTTAACTTTACTGAGAATTTTCAGGAGCATTTTGGAAAAATTTAGAAACTTCAGAGATATTTTAGAACAATATGATTCAATTTAGAACTGGAAACCTTTAGGAATTCTTTTAAACAGGGATGTGCCGTAGACTATGAAATCTACGTTACGAGGTTTGTCTACTCGTTGTCTACGTATTGTTTACATCCACTGTTTTCCATGTAGACCATGTAAACTATGTAGACAATGTAGACAACAGAAAATTTGAATTTTGAGTAAATTTTTTGAAAGATTGCATTGCATTAAATTTATATTGTATCAAATTAGACGTAGACAATCTTTGTTTACGCGTAGATGCCCATCTCTGCTTTTAAACCAATTTAGAACACTTCCAGCAGCATTTTGAAAGGCTTCAGAACAATTTAAAAACCTCAGAATTACGTCCTTAAGATGTCTTTAGGACTTATTGAAGACGTTAGATGGTCGTTTTGGACATCTTCAAGATGTCTGTGTGCTGTTGGGTAATGATATACAGAGTGGTCCTTAACTTGAGACAGACTAATATCTCGAAAACGACCGAGACGGTGCGTTTTTGTAAATAAAAGTTGAGATAGTCGAAAATCATTGCTATCGTTTTCTTTTTCTCGTGATATGTACCATATAAAAATTTTTTTTACGATGAGATATAAGTAGACTGTCTCAAGTTAAATGGACCACCCTGTATAGTGTACCTATGGCCATAAAGCATTATATATTTTGAATTTTTTGTAAGTACCTTACCTACCTTATCCTCTTAAAACTATAATTATATGCTCAACATTTAAAAGATTTATTCATGTAAACATCATCGTGAATAGCAATAAATCATAAGAAATCTAATTTTTAATAACATCAGCATTAATATAAAACTTCTTACTTACCACAATCTAGGACAGGTTGACATAGGTACGTACAATAATTTTTGATATTTTTAAATTAAACTCTAGCAGCGACTTAAAAAAACAACAATAATGCCGCAGCAGCATTGATTTATAAATATATATTTCCCTGACATTGATAACTGACCTTTTAATATAAGTACAGTACAATCAATGAACCGATAGAATAGGACCACAATAACGCCGGTAAATAAATACGTATAATCAAAACCAATGAGGCAAATTTCCTTATGATGAAGCAGAATTAGATATAATTCAGTCAATAAATCAATGCAGTTTGATCGGTATTTTTATGTTATTAAAAAATTTAATATAGTTACAATCTTTGAATCACATATAAGCATGGTTTAAAATATTTAAATTTGTCCAATATCAAAAAAATAAATAAGAAAAAATGGTTCGATTTTGTTCCATAACTATCACTGTTAGAAAAACATTTTTTTGAAAGTTTTGTAGCTTGAATTATTATCAATATAAATAAAATTATAATTTCAAAAAAGTCCTAGAAATTGTAAATATGCTATTGCGGAATATTACCATAAATAAAACATGATAAAAGTCACTGTATATGGATAATAACATTTATGAAAGGTCATTATTAATAGTTGAATGATACCAGGGGAACATTAGCACATAAAGAAAGTTAGATGTTCAAATTTCGTCTGATAACAAAATAGGCTTCTAGGATATCTTGCAAATTTAAACATTTTTATAATCAGTAGTTATCAACTGAACCAAAATATTATAATGACAAAGCAAAAAAGACCGTCGGTGTATAAAGTTACGATAAACTTTTAATTTAAACCTCGTACAGTTTCATATAATCTCATTCAAAACAAAACAACTCAAGCACATTTTAATTGGTAGCCAACAGTGCAATTACTATTAGTGCATGTATTAAAGAGAACAAAGAAATGGAAATTCCACCACCTGTAGAACTGAAACTACCCCTAATCGTGCCCCACAAAGTTCTAATGGGACCTGGACCTTCAAACGCAGCTCCTAGAATACTACAAGCTTTATCGCAACCGGTTTTGGGTCATATGCATCCAGAACTTTTCACAGTAAGTAACAATAATGTCTAGAACAATTAATAAAAAAACTTATTCGAAAGATAATGGACGAAATTAAAAAAGGAATCCAGTACATTTTTCAAACCAAAAACGAATTAACGCTTGCGATAAGCGCTTCAGGACACGCGGGACTTGAAGCTGTTATGTGTAATCTTTTGGAACCTGGAGATACAGTTTTGGTATTGGTTAATGGGATTTGGGGAGAACGAGCTGCTAATATTGCAGAAAGAAATGGTAAAAGCTATATTTGAATTATCTATTGAAGGTTTTTAAATTGTTTTTATTCCCAAGGTGCGGTGGTTCAGAAGCTTCAAAAATCAAACTCTAACGATAATTTTTCAATAATAGAGATAGAAAATGCAATTAAAGGATATTTGCCAAAATTGGTGTTTGTTGTTCAAGGGGAAAGCTCTACAGGGATTTATCAGCCTTTAGACGGGATTGGTGAAATTACTAGAAGGTATATATAAATATATACACGGTGGTCCTAACCATTAAGACAGTCTAATATTGAAACGGCACGTTTTTGGACAAAGGAATCCAAATTAATAAAAGTTATATGAATATCTAAGCATTTGATTTTCTTTTTCCAGATATAACTGTTTACTAGCAGTAGATACGGTCGCTTCTTTAGGATCAGTACCTATGTTCATGGACCAATGGAAAATCGATGCTTTATATACAGGGTGTCAGAAAATTATAGGGGTACCACCTGGGGTCACTCCCATATCGTTTAGCCAAAAAGCACAGTAAAGATTTTTGTCACAAATTATCCATGTTTTACTAGTTTTTTTGCAGCAATGTAATTTTCAACAGAAAAACTAAAATACCAGTTTACTACTTGGATATGACACTTTTGGGACAACAATGGAATTGTTTTGAAAAAAATTTGCCCAGGCTGTAAGTATCAACTTAAAAATTTATAAAAACATCATATTAATTTCCAAAATCCAATAAGGTATCATCATACTACATCAGCAAATCTACTGTATGCTCTAAGAGAAGGGCTAGCAATTGTTGCAGACGAAGAACTAGAAAATGTAATCGAAAGACATCAAAGGTGCGCTGAACGATTGTATAAAGGCATAGAACTATTGGGACTGGAATTTTACATCGAAGACGAAGTTAAAAGACTGCCCTCGGTAACAACTATAAAAGTGCCAAAAGGTGTGGACTGGAAAAATGTTGTAGATTATGCTATGAAGAAGTAAGAAAATGAATTTCGAATGTATGTGGGTATTATTTTGAAATAATTATTGTTTTAGCTACAAATTTGAACTGAGTGGTGGACTGGGACCGACAGTTGGGAAAGTTTTCAGGATAGGAATTATGGGATACAATGCAACTCCTGAGAATATTGATAAAACATTGCAAATATTGAAAGAAGCGTTGGCTTATTCTAAAAATGATTCTAAATTGTGAAATACATATTTAATTAAATCTAAATGTATATACCTAATAACACTTTATACCATATAGTTGTGTATAAAAAAATATAAAATTTAAATTTGAATTATTTCGGAATTATTTTGACTACACGGTTTTTGAGAAAATCGAGTTTGAAGTTTTAGACAGCAGTGTGAATAAAAAATAAGTGTTTACTTAAAGAATTAAGTTATAGCATAAGTACAATCTTATTAGATTCAGCTATAAGTTTAAGTACATTCTGAAAAATTTGTGAATAATATTTTGCTTATACTTATAAGTGTATACTAAAAAATTTAAGTTTGAACTAACAATAGTAAACACATACTGGTTTTCTTATCCATTTGTTTTCTTTTTTTTTTAGTGAATAAATTATTTTTTATTGAAATACTTCCAAAAAAACTTTGTAAAAAGCGGCCGTATTCAATATTTTTGTCAAGAGATTTTTCAGTTTATTCAGTTATTACCTACAACCATTAGCAGACACACGTTTGTGAAATTGTTGAAAATGAATTCCGAGTCCGACAGTGAATCTCTTGACTCCGAAGTCGGTGAAGAACAAAGTGGCAATTTATAGAGGCTTTATCTAATCACAAAGTATTATTTGATAAATCGCAGTTGCCATTAATAAGAAAAAAGAAGGAAAATTCCTTAACTAAAATGCAGGAATCATATCAAACAATTTATGGCAAAAGTATTACTGTGAAACAGTTGAAAAAAAAGATTCAAAATATGAAAAACGAATTGAAGAAGAAAACAGATATGAAAGCAACTGGAAATAAAAAAATTATTTTGAAAGATTGGGAAAAAAAATTGCTGGACATTATTGATAAAGATGACAAAAACCCAACATTGCATAAAATTCCTGGAGCGGCGACAACGGGCTTGAAGCCATTGGAAAATATAGAAATGCAAAAACCAGCGGAAACAAGGCACGTTTTAGTCAGATCTCCTCCTTCCTCTAATATTACACCATCAAAACCAAAAAAAAAATAAGCTGGAAGGGAAAGAAACAGATGAGACTGCAAACTTATGCACCGCAGATCTACAAATATTGGTTCTTCTTGAGCAATTAAAACTCACGCGCATGCAGATCGAGCGAGAACAACTTTTATTGGACAAGCTACGTCAAAGTCTATCCGGAACCAAAGTTCTCGAAAGCCAAGATCCTGAAAGCCAAGGTCCTGGAAGCCAAGATCCCGAAACTTCAACGTACAGTTTAGCTTTAGATAAAATATATACAATGTTATAAATTATGAAACATAATTTATTTTTTAAGTTACACACCCTGTATATTTTTATTTGTTTCAACAGTTTTTGAATATCATAATTTTGATTTTATAATTATAACAATTTATATAATTAAATGTTTAGTTGGTAAATTAAATTTTTGATTTCTTCTCTCCGTTGGAATCCCCTTCTCCTAACATTTTCATCGTCATTTTCCAAATTGTATTCCTCTTCTTCTTCGTCATTCATAACATCTTCTTCTTCTTCGACAGGAAGTGGATCATTCAAATACTTTGATATATTATGAAGTATAGCACAACTAATAATAACAGATGCAACTCTGTCTAGTTTTACCCTAACCATATATTGCAGAATTGGAAACCTTCTCTTCAGTTGACCAAAGCACCTTTCGATGATGACTCTTTCTTTCGTGACGAGCGTGTTAAACGCAATTTCTTCACGAGTTTCGGGATTTCTGTATGGCGTCATCAGCCAACGACTGATTCCATAACCAGAATCACCTAATAGCACCATATTATTATGCCGGATATTATTCATTTGGACATAAAGTGCAGAATTCTTTAGTATTCTACTGTCGTGTACTGACCCAGGCCACTGAGCGTCTATGGAAGTGAATTCTTCTTTTGCATTACATGATGCCTGTACATTTATGCTAAAGTAACCTTTTCTGTTATAGTATTCGTCTCCATACTCAGATGGTTTCGGAATTCTTATATGTGTGCAATCCATAGCACCAAATGCACAAGAAAACTGATACTTAGAACTCCACTCTTGTTGTGCTTCTTCAATGTTATTTAAAGGAAAACGTAACCAAATATGTGATTTTTGAATTATTTTAGTCAAAACAAATTTCACATTTTTACTCACTGTTGTTCGATGAACGCCTTCATCCTTTCCAACTCCAATTTAGAATCCAGGATCGCTTGAAAATCGAAGAAATATCTGCATTTTTTGTCTGGAATTTAATGCTCCTCCCCTTGTTTCTCCAGTGTCTTCGAGGAAATGTTCTGCTAACCACTCAACATTAATTCTAGAAAATCGATATAAATTATGATAGTCCTCATCCCGACACTCAGTTCGTTGAGAATAATATTCTCGACGTCTGATGTTCATAAATTGAGCCATTTTTAAACGTGATCGATTGAAGTTCTACACAAGACTTAATTTTTAAGCTGCACATTAGCTGGCTTGAAAAATTCGAAGTTATTACTTGAAAATTGTAGTAAATGCTGTATTTTATTCACATCTAAATTAGCTTTTACTACGAAAAAACAGAACATACTTGAAGCAAACAGAATAAACTTATAAGTTTAAGCTAAGACTTATTATTATTCACAAAAATGTTAGCTTTTGCTACAAAAAAGGTAGTTTAAGTTCATGCTACAATTTTATTCACACTGCCCAATATGTCGACTAAATTTCAACTTTCAGGCTCGATATTTTGGAAACCCCAAAAGTTATGGAAACCATGTAAGGCAATATAGAGAATTTAATGCTCTTTCCAATTATATATGGTTGTTATTAATTCGCTAAAAAATAATCGAAGATATAAACAATTATTCATGAGCTTGTCAAGATTTGCAATTGAGAACCTTGTTATTCTAGAATAGTATTAGAATTCAATTTAAAACTGGAAACCTTTCAGAACTTTTTTGAACCAACTTAGAATATTTATTGGAGCTTCAATAGGGCTCTAAAATACTTAAAAAGCAGTCAGAACAATTTAGAAACCACTGAAAAACTTCTAGAACTGTTCAAGCCAAGTTAGAACACTTTAGAACTTCAATAAGACTTTCCGGCGACATTTTGAACAATTTAAAAACCTCAGAATTCTTTTAGAACCTGGAATAGACAAAAATCAGGTCTGTTCCAAAAAGCGTCCCAAAATACGATTTCGGAGCCATTCTTTATACGAATTTTTTGGTATTGCGGAAAATCATGACGGTTCATTGTACAGTTTTTTCTGCTTTGTTGCAACAAAGCTAAAATAAACTTAAAAAAAAAAATTAACACTAATAAGGTAACTAACTAGAAACAGGGGATTTACATTTACACTTGCCGTCGGGATACTAATCTATTACGCAGTTAGTTTTTTTTGTCCATCTCACTTATTCATTTTTATTACTTTATCTGTTTCCTTTTTTTTTTTGGGGGGGGGGGGGGGGTTGTCGGACAAGGGATTTAGATTAGTCAGATTTAGTCGAGTACGGATCGCCGGAGACGAAGCACCGCCAGTCACACAAATTAAAATTTTCCGATCATTGTGTCGTGTGCCCATAGTGTATCAAACAAACCGCAACATACCGCTCAAATTCGAGTGGTATCGATCACTTCACTTTGTAACCGGGTTAGAAAACTGTATGTCATATTTGACTAACCGCTACTAACCATTTCGTAACCCGGTAAGTTTAAACCGGACCACGTGAAAAGGACTATTGATTTCTGAATTTTGGTAAGTACCTAGTACCAACGATTATTTTTTGATAATTGGAATTTATTGAATTTTGAATGAACAACCCTTGATTTTTCTAATGTCTGAGTCTGGAACAGTCCAGAACTATTTTATTTATGTTTTTTTATATAGTGATTTATTTGATTCTCTATAACTGGACAATTAGTAAATTATACAGTGTCCAAAAATTAGTTTTCCGTAAAATCTTTCGAGCCTATTTTCATCATAAATTTTTTTTTTATTTGGCTTTCCAAAAGTGCGTTAATGAAGAAAGTATATATGAGCTTGTGTGAAGGATAAATGATCCAGGGATGTAGACTGTTATGAGATAGAATGCTGGGTTCTGGATATGTAGATACTGTTGGAATAGGAATGCTGGAGGTATTGTTGTAATAGAATGCTGGAGTGTCTCAAAAAAATATTGATTTTGCCCAGTTTTCAATTGAATGGCTGTTTAAGCTACTTTACTACCACTAGCAATAACCCAACTAACCCAACACAACTAACCCATATTAACACCTTGGGGTAATTGCTAATGGTATATATAGTCCACTAAACATTTTCAGCTAAAATGATACAAACATCTACAGGTGCATTACACAATAATACTCTATAACTGATTGCTATAAATATAGTATATAGCTATCAGGTTATATAGCTATATTTTTCAAAAAGGAATTTGAAAGTTTTAAATTTTTTTGAGATACTCCTGGAGATGCACTTTTGGAAAACCAGTGATTAAAACGTACATTGCATGTCGCGTCGGGCAAAACTGCCCGACAGTGATGTTTCCATTTAGGCCACGTCGGACATACAGGGTGACAATTTGACACTTAGACAAAAAAAACTATATGAAAAAGATCTCATTTATTTATTTATTTATTAAGAAATTGCCATTTTATAACATAGGGATATATTTTACTTAAAAAGAGTATTATAATGAAAATTAGCTTTCGTAGTGGATCTCAGCCTTTATTTGCATTAATGATTTTTAGTTTTTTACATGATTACAGTTCAAGTAGTTGCCTTTTTGGCTGAGCAACTATTGTTCGTCGATTTTAATCTGATACTCGGACGGAATGTAAGCTGGTGGCTCCCTACATTAGAATCCCAATGGTTACCTGACGTCACACCTGTTTTTGCCATATGAAACACCCCCTCGCTCCTCATACCGCAAGTGTCAGTTAAAAATCGAGGAACAATACCATTTATGGTGGAAGGAATTTTTATTACAGCAAAAACTAATCTTAGATATAGTTACAATATTAACTCCCAAGAATCGTAAACTAACAGGATTGCTACCTACGTTCGTCGGTTCTCGAGTCCACAAGGTCTGCGAGCGACGTCACCACGTCAGCAGCTAATAGGGGTGACGTCACCCGCAGATTTTGGTGAAATGCTTGCGATTCAGGCTCGTTATTTGATTTTTGCGTCGATTTTAAGTGAAGAAATAGCTATTTATGTAACAAGTTGTAAAATGAACGTGTTTTTTGCACTAAATGTGAAGATTGGGCAGAACAAGCGGGAAAACCGGGACAATTGACGTGAAAAGCGGGACCTGAAATTAATTTAAAAAAAGGCGGGGGACCGATTAACAAAATGCGGGACTATCCCTCCTAAAGCCTAGTACTCATAACTGGGAAATTCGCATTTTTTTGACATTGCGTTGACATTTTGACGTTTTATGCGTGGATCAAACGTCAAATTGTCGAAGCAATGTCAAAAAAGTGCGAATTTCGCAGTTATGAGTACTAGGCTTTAAGGTGGGACGTCTGGCAAAATCTAGCAACCCTGATTGAAAGCCACAATTTTACATTGTATTGTCAACTAATGTCAGACTTTATCGTCTATGTAAATATTTAGTTCAGTAGGACGATACTATCGAATCGTGAACAAGGTGAGTTCGTGGTACGTACAATAAGTCCGAACTACTGACACTTTTTACCCTGACCCGTCAATAATGTCGCACTTTTTTCACCATTCGTACTGTTCAGCATTCCATTTTCCGGTGTAGTTTAGATGGTTGCATTCCAAAACATAACTGCACTGCACTAACGCTACCGGTTCACACAAATCGTACGCACCATTGGAATGGTAGAAAGTGCCGACACTTTTTACACTATTGACACTATGGCGTTCGTTAATTGGTAGGAGTGTTTGGTGTACACTTTTTTTGCGTTTGGAAATAATTTGGTGTCCGAATGGTGTGAAGATGGTGAGACACCGTTTATTCGGTACAAAATGATGGTGTATTCGGTGTTACACCGCTCATTACACCTTCATCACTGCACTACACCAACACCGCACTAACACTGCACTAAAATCCCATTTCGAACTCAACTACAAAGGAATAAATAAGGGAACAGGAAACCCTTAAATGTGGCGTTTTTGACATTTAGTTCTACGCTGCATTATCTAACTCATCCTCGAAAGCAAATGTAAGTTGAACATGAACTATAAGCAGTTTAGTTTGCTACAAACCGCACTTCACAAACGAACGCTCTTCAGTTCATTGTCATAACATAAAAGAATGTTCCAAAGCAAGAAGTGCTGCCCCGAACAACAGAAACAAACAAACCTCATACACTCAGTTACGGTAATACACTACCTTTCTTGCACCGATTCTATTTCAGTGTTTCATGTTCCGAAGTAGTGAAAGTTTGCTCCGAGATTTTGACATGCACGTGATTTGTAAATTGAAACTGTCCGAGTGAATCGAACCATAGAGTGGTCAAATCGAAATCGCTATAGCTTGAATGTCAATGATCCGACTGACAAATGATGACAGTTTGTTATGACACAAAATCGTACACGTACGCTTTTTTGTTTACCTGGCCAAATCATGAATTTTTGATTTTAAAAGGAGCCGTAAATTTGCAAATAAACTCGGAAATAGTTGCTAGAAAGTGTTTTAATTTATTACTTTTCCTTGCCAATAAGCTAACAGCAAAATGACGAACGTAGAACAGCCCTGTTACACCCTAATCAACGTGTCTTCCGATACAGAGCCCTACAATGAAATGCATCTAAAAAGTGATTTAGGTAATTTTTTGGAATTATATGGGCTTATACTTTATTGAGAGTACTAAGATAATAATCAAGAACATGTTTTTACATTTATTTCAATAGAAAAATCTCTTTGAAATTCCCATATATGATTTCTACAAGAAAACATGTTTGATGGACCTGTTCATCTCTTCAATCATAATATATGCAAATAAACTCTATTTTAGTACCACATTTGAATTTCTATTATAAACCTAAGTTTTTTTCGTAGGCCTGAATAACCAATTTCCTTAATTTTTCAATTTTTGTCTTTTATGATGTTTGAAAGTTGAATCTATTTAACATTGGTGTTTTCACCTAAACTAAAATTTTGATTCTTAAGGTATTACCATTCCATAATAATTATTTTATTGATAATTATAATCCATTTTCTCATCTAATAAGACTTCTACTGAAGGTTTAAAGTTACAACTATACAAGATAAAATATGGAAACACCAACACTTGTTTCTTATTCCTCTTCCCTTCCATTTATTAAGGACACATAGGTATTAAGTATTTATTGTAAATACTAAAGGAACAAGAAATGAAGTATCTTTCTAAACATTAAATGCAACTTATTTTCAGAAAAAGGTGACACAGACCAAAAAATAGAAGCCCTCAAAAAGACTATTCGCATGATACTAGCAGGAGAACGCCTACCGCCAGGTTTCCTGATGATAATTATTCGTTACGTACTTCCTTTACAAGACCATACCGCCAAAAAATTACTACTAATTTTTTGGGAAATTGTTCCTAAAACAACACCAGATGGTAAACTTTTACAAGAAATGATTCTGGTTTGCGATGCTTACAGAAAAGATTTGCAACATCCAAACGAATTTTTGAGAGGGTCAACTCTGAGGTTTTTGTGTAAACTTAAGGAACCTGAATTACTGGAACCACTTATGCCATCAATCAGGTAATGTAGCAATTAATAATGCAATTTTGTATTCCTAAACTTTTTTATTATAGAGCTTGTTTGGAGCACAGACACAGCTATGTCAGAAGAAATGCTGTTTTAGCAATATTTACTATTTATCGCAATTTTGAATTTCTAATTCCTGACGCTCCAGAACTTATTTCAAATTACTTAGATAGCGAACAAGATATGTCGTGCAAAAGGAACGCCTTTTTAATGTTGCTACATGCTGATCAAGACAGAGCTTTATCTTATTTGAGCTCTTGCTTAGATCAAGTTACTTCTTTTGGAGATATTTTACAACTGGTTATTGTAGAACTGATTTATAAGGTATGTGATTTTTTGTGGAAGTCGGCAATTGATTAATAAACATTGATCAACATTCAAGGTTTGTCATACCAACCCATCAGAAAGATCCAGATTCATCCGTTGCATATACAATTTGCTAAACTCTAGTAGTGCCGCAGTAAGATATGAAGCTGCAGGCACTCTTATTACATTATCTAGTGCCCCTACTGCTATCAGAGCGGCGGCTTCTTGTTACATTGATTTAATTGTCAAGGAGAGCGACAATAATGTTAAACTAATTGTTTTGGATAAGTTGGTTGCCCTTGGCGAACATCCAACCTATAACAGGGTTTTGCAGGTAATAGCTTTTATGGCTTATATTTCCAAAATAATTTTTTGTTTTCAAATTCAAAGGATCTCGTTATGGATATACTAAGAGTTTTGAGTAGTCCTGATTTAGAAGTGAGAAGGAAAACTTTAAATTTAGCCATGGAACTAGTGAATTCTAGAAATATTGAGGAAACTGTTTTGTTTTTGAAAAAAGAAGTTTCAAAAACTTTAGATTCTGAACATGAAGATACAGGCAAATATAGGCAACTTCTTGTAAGAACTTTGCATTCCTGCTGTATTAAATTTCCTGATGTTGCTGCCACAGTGATTCCAGTTTTGGTGGAATTTTTGTCTGATACCAATGAGTTAGCTGCTGCTGATGTTTTGGTGTTTATCAGAGAAGCTATACAGAAATTTGAAAATTTGCGAGCACTTATTATTGAGGCAAGAATTTTATTCCTAATTTGTATTTATTTTGCTTAATTATTTTTATTTTTAGAAACTTCTTGATTCATTTAAGGATATTAAATCTGTCAAAGTACATAGAGCCGCCTTGTGGATTTTGGGTGAATATGCCACATCTGTTCCTGATATTGAAGCAGTTATAAAAGAGGTACAATGCCTATAAAACATATAATGTACAAATTGTTTATTTTTATTTTTAGATAACACTTACTCTAGGAGAAGGCTCACTAGTTGCAGCAGAAAATCGCCTTAACCAAGGAGATGTTGCGGAAAATAAACCAGAAGGAGCAAGCAGTAGTGGCCCTGTTGTTACTACTCTAGTAACTTCAGATGGCACATACGCTACTCAATCTGCATTCAATTCTGTCCAGTAAGTGAAAATGATTCGCCCTCTAGATAATTTTGAATTAATTATTGTCATTTGTAGAAAGTCCACAAAAGAAAAACGTCCACCTATTCGCCAATATATGATCGATGGGGATTTCTTTATTGGGGCTTCTTTAGCTTCAACAATAACTAAAATAGCTTTAAGATATGGCAACCTTGTGACACCTGAAAAACGTAACCGATTTGATGCTGAAATTATGCTTATTATGAGCGGCGTTATTCATTTGGGACAATCAGGTATGATGATATAAAATATCGATAGTAGGCTTTTGTCCTAAGTAGAATTGTTGTAGGTCTACCAACAAAACCAATCACCAACGACGACCGCGATCATATTTTATTTTGTCTCAGAGTTTTATCTGACAGGTCACCAATCATTATTGAAATATTTACTGAATATTGCAGAAAGGCACTTAACGATATGCTGTTGGCCAAGGAATTAGAGGAAGCTAGCAACCAGAAAGCTAAAGAAAAAAAAGGTAGGAAGGAACTGCTGATAGAGCCAGTATGCTAATTAACAATTTTCTTTTTCAAGGCACTAAAATCCATACAGACGATCCAATCAATTTCTTGCAACTTGAAACAGACAAAGGTGGAGAATTGGGAGAAAATGTCTTTGAAACCTCTCTGTCACAGGCATTGGTTGGTGGACGAACTGGCGGCGGGGATGGTTTAAGTACCAACAAATTAAACAAAGTCACGCAACTCACAGGTTTCTCAGATCCTGTTTATGCTGAAGCCTATGTTCACGTTAACCAATACGATATTGTATTGGATGTTTTAATTGTAAATCAAACTAATGACACTTTGCAAAATTGCACATTAGAATTAGCAACACTGGGTGATTTAAAGTTGGTAGAGAAACCACAACCTGTAGTGTTGGCACCTAAAGATTTTTGCAATATTAAAGCAAATGTTAAGGTACGTAGTAAATGGTAATTAGTTATTAAACTACAAGTGGATTATTCTTAGGTTGCATCTACAGAAAATGGTATAATTTTTGGTAACATTGTATACGACATCACTGGAGCCGCCTCAGATAGAAATGTTGTAGTCTTAAATGACATACATATTGACATTATGGACTATATAGTGCCAGCCAACTGTAACGATACTGAATTTATGCGAATGTGGGCTGAATTTGAATGGGAAAACAAGGTAAGTTTTTATTATTTTTGCCTGAATTGAATTTAATTGGGTGGTATTTAGGTTACCGTGAATACTCAGCTAACAGACCTAAACGAATACCTAAAACACCTAATTAAAAGCACAAACATGAAATGTTTGACTCCGGAAAAAGCATTATCTGGTCAGTGTGGATTCATGGCTGCCAATATGTATGCAAAATCTATTTTTGGAGAAGATGCTTTGGCTAATTTGAGTATTGAGAAGCCGTTTAACAAGCCAGATGCTCCTGTTCAGGGACATATTAGGATAAGAGCCAAAAGTCAAGTAAGATTTTTCAAGTTTTGGTCCAAGTTTTTCTAGATGAGATTGTCTTTTAGGGTATGGCGTTAAGCTTGGGAGACAAAATCAACAGCAGCCAAAAGGCTCAACAACAAAACAAAGTTGTTGCTGCATAAAACCAGATACAGTTGATGTATTTTTATAGTATTTAATTTTTTTTTATTATTAAAGTAGCATTCTTGTTGTTATTGTATTATATTCTCTTATTCGTTTCAAACAATATTATATTATTATAAGTGTCGAAAGAATGCAAGGCGCCTGTAAATAAAAAATAATTGCTGAGAATTTTATATTTCCTAGTTTTTCCAGGTTTATTATTTACCAATTTTACAATTAACAAGGAAGGAAACTTGCAAGAATTATATTGAAACCAACCAATAATGGTGTTAAGCATTAAATTTAATAACAATGAATATTCAACTTCATTCGAAACTTAAGTTGCACGCGAGCAGACCACCCGTCGGATTCCAGAGGTGAACTGAAGTGAAAAATGAAGTTGAAGAACATCTTCTGAAAAATCGTTTCAGCCCCTCACCCAGTATTCAGGAAGTTGTGGAAGGTTGAATATATCATCATATATTCTAATTAGTTCATGCGTTGTCTTTATACAGTTCAGTGCGTTTTCCTGCAAGACTGTCATGTCTTTGTCCAGAACGAGGTTTATTGCAAGTTTTGATGAAGACCTCTGAACCAGTCTTTACAGATGGTCTGACAAAAAAGTTCTAACAATACTTTTTCCGAGATCTACAACATTTCATTGGATTCAGTTGACTAGAGGTCGAGCTAGTCTGAGATAAAGAACCGATGTTCACTCCATGTAAAATTTAATAGAAAGTTCCCTGGGAAGTTCGTATTTTGATTTTGAAGACAAGACCCAGGAAAATATAAATCTACCACAAAATATGAAAAGAAAAATTAAAAGCCAATGCCAAAAAAAAAAGTAAAATGATGAAAATAAAAAGGTGCTAAGTCTAAATGATTTTATTAAATGACAAAGGATTACATTTTACTGAAAAAAATTAACACAAATTCTCAAATAATGATCTAAAGCTAAATGAACAATGAACAGTCTGCATTATCCAATACGGTTCAACGAAGAGTCTTTGTACCTAGAAAAATAATTTATTAAATTGAGTATCAGTTGAACAAAGAAAATTAGCTTGGGTAGAAAGTTAACAAATTCGGTCAGAAATGTTTTATTTATCAACACACTAAAATCTACAAGACTAAATTTTGAAAAGAAATATAAATTCATCATTTAGGATTTTTTTAATCTCTCTACGAAAAATACTTTGTGATAGGTCAAAAATAATTCTGGTGAAGAAAATTTGAGTTCTGTTCAAAAATCAAAATATACTTGGTAGGCAATGGGAAGAAAATATAAAATCATCAATAAACAATAACAAATATAAATATTTTGAACAATGTAACAATAATTTTTTTAAGATTTAGACCAAAATTTTCCAGTATGTTTACCTTTGCCAACCTTTGAACCTTTCTTAAGTAGCCTATCGCCACTAGGTGCTGCCTCTCTACTATCGACTACCATTTCTTCGACTGTACCATCAGGTCTGTCTTGAAGCTGATTCTTCAAAGTTTTCTTGATATTAAGAATCTATAAACAAAATATTAGAAAAAATAAAAACCAATATTAAACAAAAAAACCTCTTGTTCTATATCAATTTGTCTCAGCATTGCAGTGTTTTTCTCAGTATTTGCTCTGCAAACTTGAGTTTCGATGCATTCGAGGACTTTTTCACAGGCATTACTCCACTCTTGTAGGCAGTTGACAATAACGTTGGTATCTTCTGGACGAATGTCCCTGCCAATAGCATAATCGATTTCTAATTGGCTATTTTTCTGATCCAATTTACCGTGAATGATATCTGCATAAATAGCTTCGATGATTAAATCCTCCAAATCGCGGACGTTTTTGATTTTTAATTCTTCAAGTAAAACTTCGTAGGGGATACACTGGAATACAACCAAGAATCAAGCCATATAAATTTTTTTTAGTATAATAGACCGTCAGATAGTGACATATTCAGGTGCCCCATTTTCGCATACAAGCCTCGAAGAGGGTTGAAAAGTACATCGATTTTGAGTAGGATGAAGGTATTTTCATGGATGGCTCTTAGAATAGAATAGAATAGAATTTTATTTACGGACATGCCATTTTACAATAAATAAATAAACAATAGTAATATAATAATATATAAGAGTTGCTTAAACCTAAATTCTCACAAAAAAAGTGTAGGTATATTATTATCAAAAGAATTTAACCGCATGTGCAACATGCCAAATAGAATCTAGAGAAAAACATTTAACACATTCAAAACATTTAAAACCATTTGAAAACTTTAACAATTAAAAAACTTTAACAACAGATATGTGGTAACTTCTTACAGCTAGTATTAAATAAATGTAAAAACAATTATAAATATAAAATATGAACATATAAAACTCTCAACAGGATAAAAAGCACTATGACTAGATGGATTTGATTTTGTTTTTAAAGCTATGCAAACTTATGTTAAAAATATCTATATTAAGCATATTTATCACAGAGTTTGCCAGTCTAGAGAATCTTGTTAAAGGAGAATAGTAACCAGCATATTTATCACAGAGTTTGCCAGTCTAGAGAATCTTGTTAAAGGAGAATAGTAACCATAGTTAGTACGGTGATTTTTAATAGAAAATAACCTGTTGCTCCTAATATTACTGCGGGGAATGTTTAAACCTATTACCGATAAAAGCTCTGGTGAATCAATCATGTTGTAAATTATTTTATATAAAATACACAAGTCCTGCTGGTCCCTTCTTTGTTGTAATGTCTGCATATTTAGAAGAGTCTGAAGTTCATCATAATCAATAGAATCATACTTTATACTCAACTTGTAAGCAATAAATCTTAAAAATCTCCTCTTCTCTAATTGATATTTATGTTTATCATAGTAGGGTGACCAAACAGGGCTAGCATACTCCAGCACTTGCCTGACAATAGATGAATAGGCATTTCTTAAAGTAAATACATTATTAAAATCCTTCAAACTACGCAATAAAAATCCTAACAACCTCATAGCTCTGTTGGAAATTCTTTCAATGTGCTCTATGAAATTCAATTCTACATCCAAGTGGACACCTAAATACCTCATGACATAAACTCTCTCCAGATTAATTCCCCCAATTGAATAATCAAAAATAGAAGGTCTTTTCATTCTCCGAAAGGACATAATTTTGCATTTGTCTAAATTAAGGTTTAAATGATTCCTTCCACACCACAAATAAAATTGATTAACTTCATTTTGAAGGATCTCACAGTCACTCATATCTTTAACAATAAGAAATATTTTTTTGTCATCAGCAAAATTTAGAAATTTGCAACTTGTGAAAACCTTCGTAACATCATTCATGAATTAAGAGGTTAAATAGAGAGATAAATGTCCGCCTTGCAAAACTCCAGAAGGTATATCAATCTCAGTTGAGATAACATTTTCTACTTTAACCTTTTGCTTTCTTCCCGAGAGCTGATCAACAATCCAATCCAAGAAACTACCGTGAAAACCTATGCATTCCAGTTTATTTTTTAGAATCCTATGGTCAAATGCCTTGGAGAAGTCTGTATAAACCACATCTACCTGATACCCCTCCTCCAAAGCGCCAAACAGAGTCTGTTCAAATTCCAACAAATTTGAAGTCATGGACTTCCCTTTTCTGAAACCATGTTGTTCAGGAATTATTAAATTTTTAAATAATGGTGTTATTTTGTCCGTTATTATCGGTTCCAGTATCTTAGAGAAAATAGAAATTCTAGAAACAGGCCTGTAGTTCTCAATTAGGGACTTATCTCCACTTTTGAAAATTGGAGTCACAAAACTGGTCTTCCGTGCTTTTGGAAAAATACCCCTGCTCAATGCTATTATAAATTTGACACAATAAATAGGAAAAAATGCATATGCATTTCTTCACGATTAAGACAGGAATGCCATCCGGTCCACTACCTAGATTATCTTTTAAATGAAAAATCTTATTATAAACATCCATGACATCAATAGTTACACAGCTCAAGTTAACAGACAACAAATCACATGAGACATTTACATCTGACTCGTCGTGCTTTTTGTATACAGAGCAAAAGTGTTTTTTAAAGAGCTCAGCAATGTCTTCAGGAGAATCTGCATTCTCATCTTTCAAAGTCATTAAACTGGGAAAACTATTTGCATTTTGCTTTGACCTAATCTAACTCCAAAATCCATTCCGATCCTGCACCCTATCCTCTATACTATCTAGGTAATTTCGATGGCTGATTGAAACATATTCCTTACATTTTACCCTTAATTGGGAAAACTCAAGATAATCCTCTAAAGAAGATGTTTCCTTAAATTTTTTGTGTGCAGCTTTCTTTATTAAAATCAATTCTTTCAGGGTGACATCCATTCATTTTGGAAACTTAAGGTTCTTATGCCGATTCACTGGGGTTGATATTTTGATAGCATCATAAATGTTCCCATAAAACACTTCAATTAAGCGATCCAAGTCCTCAATCAATAAAATATTACCCCAATCAACCATCGATAATGCCAATTCGAGATCTCTAAAGTTACACAATTTGAAATTATAATAGTAATCAGCTGACAAGTGATCTATTGATTTGTCTATGTTCACCACAAACTCTAATGCAGGGTGCGGTTTATCTAATTTCAGGAGGGGTTTATTACATGGAACAATTGACTTGGGGAAAACATATGGAAAATTGGATTTTCCATAACAGAAATGAAAGACGTCCTGATGCCCATATTTTCTCGCAAGCCGTGTTCACCAAAAGATTACATAATAAATCCTGGCTTCATGAAAACAAAGAAGGGGGTGTTGCGGGTGGCTAAAGGTTTGAAATAAGGGCCTAATGTAAGGAAAAATCGAGATTTTGGGCGATTTTTCCCCATTGTAAGGATGAAAATCTACAAAGTTGGTAGCAAGAAAAGATTGGCTTGAGTGTCGCGAATGGAAAAGTACATTTTAGGGTAATATAGTACAGTCAATAGAGACAAATAAATCGCATTTACTAAAAAAAAATACTTAATGGCTGGAATTTTGAGGGTGTGTTCGGTGCATGTCCTGAGGCTAAAACTGAGTTTTCGTATTCGAGGGGGTGGGGGAAGATACTACCACCTCTTTATGTAGGGTTGAGTTCGTTTTAATTCCTTATCTTCGGTGCTATTGCCCATACCGTCAAGTCCGAGAGATCAAATTTGTGGGAAATAAAATTTTCTATAAATGAAATGATCTCTCGGACTTGACGGTACAGGCAATAGCACCGAAGATAAGGAATTAAAACGAACTCAACCCTACATAAAGAGGAGGTAGTATCTTCCCCCACCCCCTCGAATACGAAAACTCAGTTTTAGACTCAGGACATGCCCCCGAACACACCCTCAAAATTTCAGCCATTAAGTATTTTTTTTTAGTAAAATATCCCTATTTACTGTACTAATATAAGTAAAATCGAATTTTCCATATGTTATCCCCAGGGGTCCTATTTTCGAATATTTTCGCACACGAAATTTGATACGATTTCGAATACTTCCCATTTTAATTTACATTGCTGTCAGTCAAATTTCGTGTACGAAATGTACTCGAATGGATTCGAAAATCGCACCCCTGGAGCCACTCGTGAAAATACCTCCATCCTACTCAAAATCGATGTACTTTTCAACCATCTTCGAGGCTTGTATGTGAAAATAGGGCACCTAAATATGTCACTATCTGACGGTCTATAAGCTCTGTTCCAACCGACATGAGAACCGTTCCAGAACCAGTAATTTCCAGTTGCCAATCTATTTTTCAATAAGTTGAACCTTTATCCTACTTGACAAATGAATTGACCGCCTGGAAATTACCGTTCTAGAACAGTTCTCATGTCGGTTGGAACAGAGCTCATAATTTACCTTGGATTTGGTAGCCAAAGTCACGATAGTAAGATGCTGTAGCTTCTTCTTCTGAATCGCTGATAGCTCAATAAAGTTGCTTGTGTTGGCCAAATAATCTTTGTAAGTTCCATAGGCAAACAGGTTTAAAGTATTGAAATAAACTTTGTGTGTGTTGTCAAGCTGGAAACTTGATTTTGTTAATAAAATAAATTTATGCTAGGACTCAAGTTTACCTCTAAAATATTTGGATTGTCCAAAAGTTCTCCAAAAACATACACTCCGGGACTTTCCAGTGCTTGTTTCACTAGTTCAACACACGCTGCTCCTTTAGCAGTTTTGGCTAATATCACAAATTGTTCTAGAGCGTTTGAAGGGGTGGTATTTTTGTCTGCAACCATTTTACTAATTGTGGTTTTTGTTTTCAAATTTTAAATGAATTGATGAAAAATGAACTACGAACTACTATTTATTTATAAACATCAAATTTGACAGTTATCTTTGTTGTGACGTCACGCCGGAAAAGTCGTTCGAAAACTGAGCGAGTACTATCTAAAGGTTTTCAATTGTATCGGCTAGACCTGCTCTAAGCAGATCTGGAATTCGATTCTCCAGGCCAGAGTCGCTTTCCAGTGACGCACTTCTGAGCTGCTCTAGAGCGCCCTGGGCTTTATATAGGTGTTCCAGTGCATTAGAATTTTGCACAACTGAACTGTTCGTTTTTCCTCTTGCTTGCCGTCTCAAGCACCTGAGTTCCAACTGTTCCAGTGAAGCAACAGTTGTTTGGAACACCAGAGTGTAAAGTTACGAAGCAACGTGCACCAACAACTATTTTTTTTTACAATCGCCTTCCACTAGAAGTCCTGGTGCAGCCTCTTTTGAACTCGGATTGTTCTCAGTTGTCCACAGGGCCAACACTGAGCAATCAACTGGTGTATTTTTTTTCCAATATTTTCACGCACTCGGGAGTGTAGTGCAATAATTCATGTTCGGGTTGATTAGGGTCAACTTTCGGTTCGGGATTACCTGAACCGAGCGCGGACATAACGCGAAAAAAGTTCGAACTTTTTAGCACCGTGGTGCAAGTGCGTTTTTAATAAGCACGAAGTTATATAATGAGGTATTAAGCCTAGTACTCATAACTGCGAAATTCGCATTTTTTTGACATTGCGTTGGCAATTTGACGTTTTATGCGTGTATCAAACGTCAAATTGTCAAAGCAATGTCAAAAAAATGCGAATTTCGCAGTTATGAGTACTAGGCTTTTTGCCTCATTCTCACTTGCGCGAAATTCGCTCTTTTTTGACATTGCTTCGACAATTTGACGTTTGATACATGCATAAAACGTCAAATTGTTGAAGCATTGTCAAAAAAAAGCGAATTTCGCGCAAGTGAGATTATTTAAGCCGCTTTTTAGCTGACCATTTTGAGCACGCAATCGAGCTTTTGCGCGTACAAATACTTCAAGCTCGTGTCCGTTTTCCAGCCGTACTACGTTTCGAGAACTGCTAACTTTTGCGTTTCAAACACAGAACACTGTGCTGCACCGTGTTTGAAGCAAACAGCTGAAAAGCGGCCTCAGTTGCATTTCTTTCACACCTAAGAGGAGCTCCGGGGCGTTACGCGCTTATTCCTTTCGAAAAGTGTTTGTTGCACCACGCATCTGCTCCTTTCAAATCGGGGGCTTTTAGCACCAATGCGAGTAGCTCGAGTGTTTCAAACTTTTGAAAGGAATACAACAAATGGGGCATCTCCGGTCGTCCATCCCGAACCCAGCGTGTACAGTGACTATTACTGTATTCCTTTTATACATCGAGTTACACCGAACGAGCTCCTCAGAGTCACTCCAAAACACACAATTCAAATTCTATCATTATTTTTTAATATTAACATTACCGTCATCTTAAAAGGGCTTCTTGCAACCCCCGCAAATTTGGTTCATCAGGGGAAAGGGGAATGCACTATGAGCGACTCGAGTGCTTAACGCACTTCTAAAAGGAATGTTCAAGCTTTTGACATTGAGCAGCTCCGAGTTGTTCAACGGGTAAAAGGAATACAGTGAAGCGTCACCTATCAGTCAGAAGCTGAAAAGAAATTATTACTGTTTCTGCAAAAATTCAAAAAGGATAGCGCGATTATAGGAAACTTTTTGTTCGCTCCCGAGTTGCTCTTTTCCTTAGTCTTTTCATATCATCCATTTTCTGGTTATTTTTTAAAATCCATTAATCAAAAATTGATTTTATTTGTTGTAATGCAATACTAAAACACTTGGTTTTGCTTGTTAGAATTTAATTATTTTTAGGTTCTATTTATTTATCACAACACCCTTTTACAATATGATATGGATTGTATTATACATCAAAAAGTAATTTCTAAAACACTTATTTAGTGATATGTATATTGATATGTTTGGATTTCATTGTATATATAGCCTTATAGAACTAAATAATTTGTTCGCTAAATAAAAATGTAGCAATTTTTCTTTATATTATGTATTCCTTTTGTACAAACAAAAGTACCTAGTATGTAATTAGAAATTATTATGGATTTGGGTCACAGACAAATTCTTTTTTATTTTACTGCATTTTTAATTAGGTTAATAAACTATATGATTTACCTATCAATAAATTATATTTCGAAGTAAATGTAGATGATATGTATTTAATTACTACTTCACCAGTCTATTTGCATAATACTTTTACTTAACTATCCTATACGCTTTATTATCTAGGTGGGTATTTGTAGTTACACATATAAATACATTAACATGCACAAAAAAATCTTAAATCCATCAATTATTGTAAATATTAACCATCCACTTGCTAGTTGGATAGGTAATTTGAATACAATTAGATAGGCGCATATACAGGGTGTCCTGTAATAATTAGTACCTATCTCAATTTTGCTTAGTATACATTATTAATTCTAGTGCAAAAATCGCACATTTTAAGACTAAAGTTAGGTACTGTTGACGCAAATATGGCTTGTTTTCCTATACGTTTTTATGAACTAACTATGGGACACCCTGTAAATTCACAGACAGCACTTTAAAGACGTCTTTTTTAGGTCTGCATTACGTCTGAAGAACAAAAAAAGACATCCAGAAGACGTTTTTTTGAAGTCCATGTCGTAAATTAACATTTCAAAAACAACTATTTGGTACAACCAGGCGATTGGCGAATAATGATTTATGTATTGAAAAAAGATTGAAAGACGCCCTTTAGAAGAGTTTAGAATAAGACGTCTTTATGCAGACGTAGAGCTTTGTAACATACGGCGTCTTCAAGTAAGATGCTTAAAGATGTAAGCAAAACGTCTTGAATGTCGTTTATGGACATCTTAGGGATGTTTTTAAGATGTTTACAAAAACTTCCCACAGAATTCGTTTCTCATTCAATTTAGAAGTTACTTACCGGAAACTATTTAATATGTCACAGAACACTTTAGAACTTTTATAGACCTTTTGGAAAGACAAAGAAAAACACTTAAAAAATTCAATGTACGATTTCCAAAGGCATTCTGTAGCGATTCAGATTTCAGAATCTTTTTCTATTTATGTGAGACAGGTCAATTAACCAAAGCTTATGCAATAACATGTATGGGAGACTCTGTCAAATGCCTTGAAAAAGTCAGTGTAAATCGTATCCATGTAACAGAATTAATAGTAAATTTCAAATCTCGGTTCAAGTACGTATTTCATGGGAGTTACCAGAGACGGTTTTTAGAAATAGTTAAAATGTTATCTTAATGGGTTTTACAAACATATGGCGATTCTGGAAACGATAACTAATCTGGTCGGAGAATTGAGGGAAAGCACTTAAAGCAAAAAATGTATCAAATTTTATAGTTTCAAGTCAAATATAAGCCAAAATTGACAAATTTAATAGGCAAATTATGTGTTCTCCTAGATAAACACCAAATGTGATTCTAATCTGTACCTAGAATAATTTAATTCATTTCACACCGTTGATTAGGCTAAGTAATTAGGTTTATTACTCAGTTACATTAGTAATTAAGAAACTGTTTGTTTCATTTAACTAGGTTAACAGAAGGCATATAAGAAAGAAAGATTTTCCAATTAAAGGAAAAACGGTAATTTTCAGTTATTAAAATTATATTCTTCATATGACTAGCGAACTCTATTGGAAGACTTTCAAACTATGTCACTAAAGGTGTAAATAGGGTGAACGATACGAGAACCAACAAGGAAAGAGCAATAAGGAATATTGAGAGGGCTAGGTACTAACAGCTAGCCAATGAGCTGCTAAGAGCAGTACCCTCAAGAAATAGGGGTTGGTTCTCTCTCGCTTGAAGTTATCGGCAGTTCTCGTAGGAAATTGTTAGAATAAAACAAAAACTTAACGAGTTAGTGTTCGTCACAGTCGTCGCTCGATCCGTTCTCCTAAGTTCATCTAGTGTTCATCAGTGATTAGTGGAAAAGCTTTCCAAAGAAGATTATGGTTTATTTTAGTTCAATTTCTTTTAAAATCCATTTTTTTAGTCTAAACCTTTAATTGGAAATCAAACATTGTCTTCATTAATTTTTTTTTATTTTTCATTCTTTTCTTGAATAAATTAATTTTATTCTTTTAAAAAAAGGAGTTTTCATTTTTGGTGTCATAAATTGCTCTAACACTGGTAGTGGCCGAAAAAGATCTTTCGTGCCGGTTTGTGCAATTGGGGAGGGAAGTTAGCAACTTTGGCAATAAAAGGGTAAGTCATCTTGAATCTATAACCCTTTGCACTAACCATAACTGAAGAAGAGAAGAAGTGAGGTTTTTGTTTGGATTGCCTTCGGTTCGGAAAATTTGGTATTTAGGATCCTTTTCAGATTAAATTTAATTTTCAGCATAATTATATGGTACCCACGTAAACTTAAGATGTGACAGAATTATTCACGTTACCAAAATATTTATTCTTCTTAAGATCTCAATTTTGTCACATCCATTTGAAATCCCTTCTCCAAGGCATCCAACAGATATAGTCAGATTGTGTTAAAAGATTTAATTCCGTAGCTGAATTGTTCCCTTAACATAGGCTCTATGAGGGGGGTCAAAATTCAAAAAGTCACATACTAGGCTCTCAAATAGGTACTTTAGGGATTGTGCTGATGATGCTAATGGGTCGGTAATTGGTTACCACAGATTTATTTTCGGATTTAAAGATGGGCTTGATGAAACTCTTCCTCCAAAACTCCGGGAAAACACCTCTACGTAATGAGAAGTTGAAAATGTAGTAAAGGGAACTTGAGAAATTAGAAATATGGGTAGTAGGTACCACATCCGGACCAGGGCCCTTGGTAACATCTAGCATGGATAATTTAGTGTATATATCGGATATTAGTATATGATGAGTTGGTATATGGACGTTTAAAAGAATTTAAGAGCCTAGCTTTTGAAATAGACAAAAATTGAAAGTTATAAAATGGTTAATAATAATGAAATATTAGTCTTAAAGACGTCTTTAGGCAGATGTGTACGTCTGGAAGAGGTAGAGTTCTGTAACATACGACATCTTTGAGACGCCTCGAAGACGTAAGCAGACGTCTAAAAGACGTATTGAATGTCGTTTGTGGACATCTCAAGGACGTCTTTAAGATGCCTCCTGTGCTATCTGGGATGTAATCTCATTTTCTTATTACAAAATTCAGGTAAATACTTTGTGAACTCTTGGCATGTGATTTCGCTAAAAAGCCTTATCCAATAGCGAGTCACCTCCGGGTTGGTTTAAACTAATTTTGAAATATGCACTATACTTATTTATGTAAACTTAATATTTTCAAGATACGAGAAAAGTAAAAAGATTTTATATTATAAAGTAGCTACTTACACTTATTAATCTAAACTTGTCAATAAATACAAAGCAGTTAATCATACATATAGGTAAGTATACCACTGCATATAAATTCAAACAAATACAAGTAATAAAGCCATAAATAGGAAAGCGATGAGATCAAAATGAAGCTTTTCTACTTTTTGTCTAGTATAGTGTCCAAGTGTGTCCACATTAAAAGGACTTACCATACCTGTAAAACCATTTTATTTTATTATTTTTTTTTATCCCAAGGTGCATTTTGAACAAATTTAAACTTAATTGAAATCAGTCAAGAAATAAAGCTTGAGGATGGTAAGTCCTGGACACACGGTATATTGACAATAATATTGATAGAATAATAAATAATTCATAGGTAATTAAGAGATTTAAAGCTGTTCCAGCAACAAGAAAAAGTGGATATTGGTACAGAGTGTAGGTATACAAAATTGCAAATAAATTTAAGATCCTAAGGTGTTGTCTAATAATGAAATTAGATAATTAGTTAGGTATAAAGGTATCTACTGCTTGAAAAGTATATAAGTATAAACACTCAGTGTTTTATGCTTTCTTTAAAATAAAACCTATTGGATCATCTTTATTCAAGTCTTGAGTGAAAAGTTTAGGTTTTTGCATTTCTTTTCGTTACTGAAGACCATTAAACTTTAATTTGTGGTTTTAGTGTCTTTCAAGTAAAATTAGATAGGTTCAGAAAAGTGGTAAAACTAATATTGAAAACTCACCCATTACCCCTAGTAGAAACTTTTATGTAACACAAAAATAACTTCTGGTTTCTACTGCGGTATGGGCATTTTAATACCCGCTTTCTTGCCTGGGCCTACATAAGTAATATTTTTAATATAATTTTCGGTGCAAATATAGGTATTATTATTTACATAGAAAAAATATTACATGAAAACTATAAAACTAAAATTTGCATATTTAATTTCATATTTGTGTAAATTATACAATTTTAATATTGCTAATACACGACATTTTCTACATTATTATACAATAATTAAGTGCTACTGTTTTCTAATAAAAAACCATAGATACTAACAATCACTACAGTATTTGTTCAAACAAGAAACGGAGAAATCAATGAGCATTAATAATTTTTGATTCTTAAAACTATCACTTCTTGAAACAGGGTTGCAATTTAGGTACTTCACTGTTTGAGAGTGAGATTATGGAATTACTTCAGTCAAATTTCTTTTACTTTATTATTATTTTTTTTAAATGGGGTGAACCGTGATTCAAGTGAAAGTGGTCCTCATGTATAAATTTAGAACTCTTCAAGTTAAAAGAAGTTTGTTATTAGTACCTATTTTATTTCCTACAATATTATGGACTTCTGTGTCGTAAGTTTTAAATTTATCTATTTTACCTATGTAGCTTAATTTATTTAAAATATTTCAGATTAGTTTACAACACATAAATTCATTTTATTTTATAATAACTTTAAGATACTTACATTTAATGATATGTTTACAATAATCACACCATTTGACAATAGTTGATATGTATAGATTTTCCTCCAAATTGATAATAATCAATGTAATTAACGATAATTAATATAATAGAACAGTGCATTTATAATTAACTCTAACAAATATATTAGATATGTCATTTATTGTTTATACAGCTCTAGGTTGATATGTTTACGTTTCATTTTTTGAATAATTTTTGACTTAAGTCTATGCTCTATCGTAAATGGTAAATATATACTTAGGTATTCTACTAATAGGTAAAACTTAATTCGCATGTGTATAAATAAACAAATATCTAAAAAATCACAGACAATAATAAAATAAGCGTATAAAATAGCGACTAGAAGAGTAACACTTGGAGCTAGCTTAGGGCCATATTCTCCGTAGTTCATAAAGCCTGGCTTAGTGGAAAAGATTGACTTTTTGTGTGACAAAGCCGAGCTTTTCTACTAAGCCAGGCTTTATGAACTACGGAGAATATGGCCCTTAATGTAACAATTTTCAATTTTGACAGCTTAAATTATACCTATAACAGTTAAAATATATTCAGGTTGGTTTTTTTTGAAAAAAGGTTGGATTTAGGTCAAAAATAAACGGCGTTGAAGAAGATAGTGTGTATTTGCCGACGTTTCGGCCTAAATTAGGCCATCCTCAGGGCACTAAAAACAGGATATTCATGAGTCTAAAATCATGGATTATTACATAGTGAACAGTGTAATTGTAAAGTAGTAAAACTGTGTGAATACAACAATGATAAATTTTAAAAAAAATTGAAAAGGAATTTTATATAAATTTACTCAGTTATCCTTATGCTTTGATAGTGAGCAATTTCCCACGAAATAAAATTGAAAAAATGATCGTTGGGTTACGTAAATAATATTAACAATTAAAAATCAAATAAATAAATAACATATAAATAACATAAAACAAGGTAAATTAGATTACAACAGGTATTACTTACATCCAAGTTACTTCTCCAGTATTATTAAATATAATGTTATATACATAAGGAACATAATGTTGCTTGACTTCGTTCTTTGGTTTACCTTTATTAACAAACAGGACATTAACATTAGACAGTTACAAACAAAAATAAAATTTAAAATCTTTGGTAGGTACTGGCTTTATCATTTCTAACCATTTGTTTCTTATATGGGTCTTGGTTAGTATCGTATCAATAAGGAACAAAAAAAAAAGGGTTTTGGTATTTAGCACAATCGCAAACACAACCATTAAAAGAAAAACACTGTATTATGATGGATTTTGGATGGACTTTAAAATGTTATTATATATTATGCTTAATTTTTCAACGTCCTGTCTTTTATTAATGTTATTGGGATGCTTTTTAATCTCTATAATTTCTCCGACAACTCTTTTTTTATAGTTATGTTTTCCTAAAATAGCTACGTTATTAAAATCCAAGTAATGAAGTCTCTCTTCAAAATGCTCAGCTAATGCTGTTTTGTTTTTTGTTTTGATGAGGTTGGACGGTCTTATGCTTCGTTGGTGCTCTGATATTCGTGTTTTTAAATATCTTCCTGTTTGTCCTATGTACACTCCATTGCACTCGTTACATGGTATTTTATATATTATATTGCTTTCCAAGTTTTTTGGAGTTTCTGTTTTTTGTTTGGAGAATAATTTTTTGATTTTATTTTCATTCTTGAAGGCAACTTTAATGGTATCGTTGTTGAGTTGTCTAGCTATTTTTTCTGATAGATCTTGTACATAAGGAATTTTAAAATATCTTGTTTGGTCCTTTCTTGGTATATTTGTCTTATTATTGTGTACGGAGCGACAAAATAGAAGTTTATTAATCAATTTATTAGGATAGTTATCTTCTAATCTTCTTCAACGCCGTTTATTTTTGACCTAAATCCAACCTTTTTTCCAAAAACCTGAATATCTACTGAGATCACTAACTATAACAAGTTAAAATATCTTTTTCTTCAACAACTAAACTTTTTAGAAAACTCAACTTTCATAAAAAAATATAACTTCATGTAAATATACTTCAGGTTCCATTAGGCCTATTTAACAATACCTGCATCGCGTTCAAACTTTCCTCGAGCGATTGTGCAAATCTGCTGGTGCTGGTCACCTCGGACGACCAAAAAGCGGACAAACAAAAAATTATGTGATCGGTTTTGATGTTGTAAGATGCCCCGTATCCATCGGGCTCCACAGGCCCATAACCCATAAAGGAGTTCGTGCTGGTACTTACTTGACTGGTTGAAAGTAGGAATTTATTTGCTAGCCTAAAATTAAAAATACGTACCTATCTGTTTTAATTATAAATTATTAAATTATACCTATAAGAAGGATCAGTAAACAATTCTGGCAGTGGCGTAGCAGCTGTAGGACAAGTATCTTTAGCTGCTTCTCTAAGACCCAATAAATGAATATCAATTCCATGACCCAGAATATTGTCCACCATTTCCTTGGTTTGCACTTTAACCGCTTCACACCATAGTTCGTATTTTCTGTCGTCACTTACCAGATGAAATGTAACCTTTTTGTTTCCTATATCATAATCTGTTTCTTCTTTAGGTTGTGACATGGCCATAACCCACTCGAGCGCTTCTGGTGTAGCTGACCTAATACAGTCAACTCTACCAAGTAGAAACCTTCTAGTGCTAGCACTCTCATATGTAGCTGTTAATTTGCCGTAGAGCTTATAATAGGCCAATTGAAGCGCTAGCTGGACAAAAACGTCTGGACTAACTTTACAAGATTTCATAAAGTCTTTACCGTATCCGGTGAATCTGAATACCTGAAAAGATTAATTTAAAATCAGGTTGCATTAAGATGCAAATTATTTACTTGGAAATCAAGATCTTTAACTAAATTATCGACAACTTGGCTAGCATCTTCTATCCTTTTCAAATCCGTGGCTTCCAAAAACCATTCAAGTTTTTCTGGTGGTGGTAAGTGACTTCCTACGTTTGATGGCACTTCTGAAGCTGTTGGTAGTAACTCAGCTTGCTTCCATAAGTTTTCGATTAATTGAATTACAGCAACCCCTATAGAATAAGGGAGGTAGGAAATGGAAATGAGAAATTAATTCCGTACCTTCAGCCATTGAATGTTCGTAACACAAACCACAAGCGCCATCTCCAGAGATTATCAGTTGGACTGTTTTATCAAACCATCTATTTGCTGAATTAAATTGAAATCCACCTCCGTGGATCATTTGGTGAGCTAGGTTGCTTTCGTCTCTGTTTCCTGCCATAAATCCTGAAAAGAAAATATTGCATTAGTAAATAATTATTTGGGATTTGATTTGGATTTAACAAACCCTTTCCTCCTTTTTGCAATCTACAATTAAATGAAGCCGGAAGGGCCTCATCTAAGCAAACAATCAATAGAGATTTTTCTATTAGTTCTAGATTTCTTCGATTTTTCTCGTCTCGCATTAGGTCTTCACGAGCTTCAGCCCACAAAGCCCTTTTCCATCCTAAAAAGGCTTAATCAGATACAAATTTTAAATTTGTGCAAACTTACCAGTTAGTATTCCAACAGGAGTAATATTGGATTGACATGGAGCATCGTCTAGAATATATAAAAGCTGAGCGCAAATTTCATCTTCATTCAATCGACCTCTATCGCCTGCCTGGATAGGAACACAATATTGTTGATTTCTGCACACAATTACCACATGTTCGCTCGCTTGTTCTAGAAAATAAATTTTCCAAAAACTATTCACTTATTATTGTCACTTACCGTTGTCATTGGGCAATTCGGCTACGTACTGAGAATCCGTTACTTTACCAGGCAACCTGCAACAACCCAAAATCCTGTAATACTGGGCCATACATAAAGGTTGTCCGGGTTCGCGCGACGTCGCCCTTTCTATTGGTAAGGCTTTTCTATTGAGTATGTCTTTGTGACTTAAAGCTGCGTCGATGAGTCTTGCTGTGAATCTGGCAACGTCTAGAATAGTCGTGAATTTCCTTGGAGGAAATACCATGCCGGGATTCGAGTTGATTACAATGGGTTCTCTGTAGTTTAGGTACAAGTCTTTTAGCCAGTATTCGTAGGCCTGGGAAAAAGGAAGTAAAATTTGTAATAGTAATTGGAATTGGTTAGAGGAACAAAGAGAAAAAGTGGAAACCAATCAAACAAGGAAAAATGAATAGCCGCTAATTAAAGAAAACACTTCAGAACATTCACAAAGTGAGAGTACGAAAAAAAAAAGGTAAGTAATATTTATGTTGGCCAAAAACTGCTTTTTATTCCATCGATAGTTTTTTTTTTCGAATCCCAAACATTTATAACTTATTTACCAGATGCAAATAAGCTTAGCGAGGCGCTTATTCAAGCAAACAGCCCCTCGGTAGTATTTGTACGTCGATGAATGGGAAAAAAAGACGACGTTGACGAGGGAGGACGACGTCACCGTGTTAACTAGGGAACGCGACGTCGACGTCGGTCCTAGTGGAGGAGCCCAAGGTTTACTTTCCGATCCGCTGATCAAACAATTTCGTGAAGTAACGAGATCAGTTCAGGTCGGCGAAACCCATGTGCACGCCTCGATGCTTGCATATTTCATAATTGGATGTTGATGTTACAGGTTTAGGTATCCTGGGGGGATGGTTTCTTGCTTATATGGATGGAGTTTTTGAAACATTTTTTACTTTTCTTCCGGCTATACTCAAACTCAGAAAAACCAATAATATGCTGTAGTTTGCCATCTTCCCAAGCATAATTTTAGATTTTGTATTTGCATAAAATTTTTGCTATCTCATTACATCCCTACTGTTCCTAAGCTTGTTTTCAGGAGTTTTATATTCTTCACCATTCATCCATCTTCATTAGTGAGTTCCCTTTATACATGAGAAATTATTTTACGACGAATTTATGATGCAAGATTTTTATTATAGTTTTGGTATCGGAATTTTGTTATATCTTAGAATTTTGCATACAGGGGAAAAATCGGAACAAATATCCAAAAACAGAAATGAAAAAATAAGAACTACTTGGAGTGATGCAGAGAAAATCTGCAAAGTGGTCAGTATTATTTATTGTTAAGGTTTGATAACAAACAAACTACTACCATTTAGTATAACCAGCTATAATATATTTGTCGTATTCTATGGTCATATTTATGTTGAGACACTTACCATATAGCATGATAAAGTAGCAAACTGACCTAAAAGTCCTTTTTTGCTTCGTAATACAATTAATTGGCTTTTCTACCAGTTAGATTGCCAAATTTCTGACGAAACCGTACCAAGAGCCAAGGGTTATCAGTCACAAACACGATTCTTGACCCCTGGTCTTGAAACTGATAAACCAAAAGTGTCACTAATTTCGCTAAATAAAAGACGCCTCACGTCGCCCTTGGTTCACTCAGTTTTGGTCACAGATTCTGGTGCTTACAGTGTAAAGTCGTTCGTTATAGTTACAAAGCAGGTGAGGTTTCAGTTTCCACATATTTCCCATTGTCAATTTATTATCTTATTCACTGTATGTTTTTTCTACTTATTGTCAAATCGTCAAACTATTTTTTTATCTTATTTCCGCGTAGGTGTTGTCAATTACCAACTTATTTTTTCATGAATCCTTTGGTGTGACTTTCAGTTATTTTTACTGCATTTTCGCTACTTTTCCTAGCCTGATATCTAACAAGGCGAATTTGTACTACCCTGTCGAGGATGTTTTCTAGCATTAATTGTAGATTATAACCAGCATAATTAATCGCTTTTCATAGAACTTAGCTTACATGTACACTAATTTTCTCCATTTTGATCCTACATTTAAATTCAGTATTGTCATCTAGCTTACTCTTATATTATTATAAGCTTATTCTTTTATTGTACCTATTCCTTTCTTTCAATCATTTTACTGATTTTCCATTGTCTTTAGTTGTTACCTATATTATCTATAATAAATTCCATATGGATTTTTATCGTAAGAGAATGCTTCTTTGATTTATTCTGACAACCGATTCCTCTCAAAACAGGTTAGAACCCAACTACGTACAGCTCGGGTAGCAAGAACCCGGACTAATAAGGGCAACTGAATCAGTTACACAAAATTACCCTATTACGATTTACCGAGAATAGGCTACTTGCATGGAAAATTAAATTGATTATTGTTTATTGCAAACTGTAGGGAATCGAAAAAAAATCGTTACTTTTTTTTTATTTCGCCCAAAAATGATTATTCCGGAAGTTATACAAATATTAAGTTTTTTATATATAGATATACTGAGCATGTGCGACGTCACAACTCACAACGTATTATACCTAAGTTATGACCTGGGAAAGACATTTCAAAGCGTTGTATCTCCGGCAATTTTTGACTAACAAGAAAAAGAAAAAACATGTGTTGACTTATTTTTCATGGACTATCGAAATCAGCAATAAAAAAATTTGATGCAAGGGGCCTATTGTAGTGCGACTTTAATCATAGTCCCTGGTGGTACGCTACCGAAATACGAGAAAAGGCCTTTATCAGTCCTAAAGCAAAGTCTCCCTTACTCACCCGTCACATCCAAGTGGCGGCCGGCGGTAACAATGAATGTAGGTAATAATTTTCATTTTCATGAATATTACATCTAACGTTTTAATTGTTCAATTTGGAATAATGAAAATATAACAAAGTTTAAGCACAAAGAAAAGCTAGCAAAGACTAAAAACTGGACCCTGAGTGTCTTGAACAAGAAAACATATCATGAAAGCTGTTGGAAAAGACCCCCACATCCAGGAGTGCCAATTTGCCGAGAGAATATTTACCTATTTCATTATTTTTGAAATTCTACGCCAATTTTTCATTTTCAACAGTTCCATAATAAAATTACCTTCCTTTCCAACATAATTGCAAATTATTGTGGAAAGTCTAAAACAAACGCAAAATTTTCAAGGGAGATTATAAAATCTTAATTGGATCGTGGAAGGATTTATTATTATTTACCGAAGAGATTAAAATTGTTAGGCAAGTCTTAAAAGCCCAATTTAAACACTGCGTCCCCTTCCGCTGTTTGCTTAAAGCTTTACGGAATTTGTCTCTGGTGAAGTTTATTTTAGAGTTTTATGTGTGGGGACATAAACTTACCCAATTGTCCAGTTTTTCTCGTCTTGCCAACAAATAGAGCTGCAATTTCCGTCCAAGTCCACCTTCGCCGGCAAATTTTTCCACGATTTTCTTAATTTTTTCATGTTCGTCTTCGCTTAACAGAGGTTGCAATGTTTTAATGTACTTTTGCATAGTAGTTTCTAAAAGAGGAACTGGGACTTTTGGTAATTGAACGTCCTGAAACAAGAGAGAAAAATGCTTTTAAAATATTCCTCATTTCATTAAATGTAACTGTCATTCCTCATAAATCCATATTATTCAATCCCAACACTGGGTTTTTAAATGGGGCTAGTTTGCATATATTAGGACATTCAGTGGGGATAAAGCCGTTCAGATAGCGTAACGTGGGCACGTATCGCTTTGTAGATCTCTCGTCTGTAATTTAGTTTCGGAATCATCCATATATGCATGCCAGGGGAGTCTGTAGCGGAAAATATTTTGCGCCACCGTTGGCCTATATTAAATTTTGTATTGTAAAAATTGTATTCGTAACTGTCCTGACAGTATTTGGCCCGACCATAAAAATCCCGATAATTTTGCCTTGTGTTTGGGATTTATATGCCACTGTCAGGCATATAGAAAATTATAGGAAAGTAAGAATCCCAAAATTGTTGTCAAGAACTTATAGCCAATAACAATCTTTGCCGTTTGAGATCATGAACAAGTCTATAGGTATAAAAAACGTGATTCATCTGGTAGGTACCAATTTCTCAAAAGAAAACCGATGGCGGAATTATGCCGTATCCAAAAAGGTTACAGAGGGTGGCAAAAGATCCTGGAAAAGGGGCGCTCTACCAATTAACAGCCCCTGAATCATTCGAATAGCACGGTGGTCCCAATTAGTTTTGTTTGCCCACCGAATTATGTAGTTTGTTACGCGTTTCAAACCGTTAGAATTATTTATTCTTTTCAGTCTTAATTTTGTTTGTCTTTCGTAATTAACAATATTCTACATTTGTGTTTTTATTTTATTATTTTATTTGTCATCACTTATCAAACATTTGGACACCAAATCTCACCAGTATGGAGTTTGAGCAGGGTCCCAAATGATGGATTCAACATTTTAAATTGTACATTAAAACACCATAAATTGCTAGGTAATGATTACATCTAGGCACTTCCTAAGAAACTTATGCATTTAAGTTTACAAGTTGGTTGTCATGCCACATATCATCGATTTAAGATAAAGAATAATTCAAAATTTTGCTTCGTAATAACTTGAGTGTCTACTTACCTAAATGAGTATCAAAACCTTTCAAAACAAATATATTTTTTTGAATGTAGAGTTTGAACTCCCTTTATTGACTAGATAGTGATAAAACCAATATCGATATACGTTTAATGCAATAAGTGTTCGATTATTAAATAAAAAAAACTGTATTATTCTTATCTATTCAATATAGGTAGGTGCATATTATATATATATTAGGACTTAGCTATTTAGAATCATTAGTTGATTGGGAATCCAACAAAATATCAAAATGTTTAAAATTTTATTCTGCTGCCTTTTTCTGTATTTGAGCGTCAGCGCCGTCAGCGTATCTCAGCAGTCAGTACTCCAGCAAGTGAACTCAGAATATCATGTGTCTAAAATTACAGTAAGTACCTAAATTTTTGTTAAACGTTGCGGTAAGTAGAAGCCTATGTAGTCCTTGGTTAAACAACTTTATTCTTCTCTTAAATTAAATAATTGTTCTGATAGTTATGTTAAGAGTAATGACGATTTTTGCAACTTTTGGTAGTAGGAGGTTATATACAATCTATTTTAACATATAGTAGGATAAACGTAGCTGCATAACATAGGTGGGGGTGCAACAAATTAGCAACAAGCTGATTTCAGCGGAAATGTTTAGTAACTGCCTCCTATTTAACCTCCCAAAAGTCCCATTCAATCCTAGGAGTGGAAGGTTGAAAAAAATGGCCGCCATCTTGGATTTTCTTGTTTTTTTTTTTTCTAATATCTCAGTTTCTATTAGTTTTTTCAAGAAAACTCAAGATACCTTTTTTATGGAGAATTTAATTCTCTATAAAAAGTGCCTCTATGTTTTTTTTTTTGTAACATGAAGGATAACGGAGATACAGTTTTTTTTAGAATCTGATTTATAAATCTTTCCCTTTTAGCGCAACAAAACCCTCATGGGGGTTTTGTTGAAGATTCAAAAAAGCGATCCACCAAAGTAAGAAGTAGACATTTTGTTTGTGAAATTGTGATCTTTTTAGCCTTGTAAAATTTTTTCTGGACTTCATTCTTGGTGAGCCAACAAATCCAGTTTTATTATTGGGACTCAAATAGGAACAGAAAAAAAAAGATAATTTGTATTACTTATCAGCAGCACAAAAATTTGCAATTTCATTGGTCGGCCAGTTATCCGCCAACCAATACAATAATAGAACAATAAATTTATCTTGCAGATAGTTACCAGCAAGTTTTTCTGAAGATGAATAAACTGGGCCTAAACCAAATAAACATTCTGTATTAAATTTTATTCCTACCATAATCAATCCTGATATGGATTTACCTGGGATAAAGCCTGCTTCCAAAAGGAGGACAAAAATTAGCTTTTTGGCTAATCATGTGACATTTGTCGCAAGATTCTATGCAGAAATTGCTCTGGAGTAAGGAGCTCTGAGATTCGAGTTCTCATAATGAAAGAACGCTGCCTAAGATATTTTTGTCCAAGCTGTATGGACTGTTTCCAAGTACTACCGGGGTTGAGCTCAAGACTTCACGAATTGGAAGCAGAGATGGAAAAGCTCAAAACCGATCAAAGAAATGTGCTATCCAATCACAAATGTGTGTTATCGAGGATGATGAAGTAAAATTAGATAGAGGGTTTTCTCCTATTCCTGCCAATGGCCAGCTCACTATGGATGGTATTAAAAACGGAATGGGCTGGAAGGCACCTGCAAAGCCATTCTATTCTAATAAGGAACTTGTTGCATTTATGTCCAAGTCCTATACACGCCTAGCAAGTAAACATCTTGCATATCAATTTTAAGGCGATGGAATGAAATGTCTAAAGAAAGTCTAAGGTTGAATAAAGAACGAAAACGATTTCCCCTGTTCCACCTCTAGCGTTCCCAGCGCTTTATGCTGGAGGTGGAACAGGGGAAATCGTTTTCGTTCTCTATTTAACCTTAGACTTTTTTTAAACATTTCGAAAGGGATAAAAGTAAAGAAATGTTTGAAATATTTACTATAAAAATCTCTGTATCTCCGTTATCCTTTATGTTACAAAAAAAAGGTGTAAACACTTTTTATAGAAAATTAAATTCTCCACAAAAAAGGTTTTTTGAGTTTTCTCGAAAAAACTGAGATATTTGAAAAAAACAAAAAAATCCAAAATGGCGGCTATTTTTTTCAACCTTCCGCCCCTAGGACTGAATGGGACTTTTGGGAGGTTGAATAAGAGGTCACTTACTAAACATTCCCGCTGGAATCAGCTTGTTGCACCCTGACCCTCTAGATTGACTCAGCAATTGATTCTGCAAAACCTTATTATCGGTTTTGAGTTTTGGAAAGTCTTCATTTCGTTTTATTTCGATCATTCTTGAAAAAGCATTCAGATTGATGCATGTGGACAATGCATAATGTCATATGATGAATATTTTTTAAAGAAACTTTCTTTAGTATTTATTTATTTCTGATGATTAGTAATTTCTCATTAGATTGAGGAATAATGTTCAAAGAAAGTTTTGTTCAAAATAATTAATAACCAAAATGGCTCAATAAACTTCAGATCAATTTATTACTAAGTGTAGTTAAATCCATTATTACAATTTTTCTTTTATAGGGGACATTATTAAAAGCATTGGCTATCTGCCAGGATTTCGGTATGAAACTAGTCACTGCACCGAATGCTGAAGTACAGGCTGAAGTACATAAGGTGTTGAACGGAACAACGAACGATGGTGAGTAGAAAAAAAAACTCTAAAAACCACAAAACAATGTCAATGTTTGAGCATAATACATGGACCAAAATCAATGTAGATATAAAAATCAAAAGCTATGTTGTTAAGTATAAAATCTTATTGTAAAGTGGCAAAAATAATCAGTATCTATAATATCAAATTTTTTCAGCAACTTGGTTAGCTGGATTATATCTGAATTATGATGGTTTATTTCAACCTAAATGGGTCTGGTTGAATAGTGAACACCAGTTTAGTAACTATACGAATTGGGGAGAAGGAGAACCAATCTTATATGTAAGGGGCTTATTGAATTGCGTAGTGATGCAATCAAATGGTTTCTGGAAAGTGGATAGATGTGACGAGGATGAAAACTATTTTATATGTTCAACTAAATAAAATTTAACATGATGGTCGTTGTCCTTATTCCACGAAATTTTCTTTAATGAATAAAATTAATATTTCCTTGTATGTAGTGTTTTTTGTTTATGTAGGTACCTACTTATTATAACGTCCCAATCCTAATGTTATTGTCACAAGGGCCTTGCAGCTAGTGAGGGTTTGACTTAAGGTTAGGGGTTGCTCTTCAAGAAAACGAGGAAAACACACAACTGCAAAAAGGAGCTTAACATACATTGTCTACTAGTGGGTACATTCTACCAAAGGAAGATGCGTCACATGGTTCGGCTCTATGTACATATAGGGGTGCAACTGGTCCCCACAGGTATAGGCGGCAATGCCCTGAAGGGCATTGCTCCAAAACTTTCTGGGGTAATGCGACCCTGAAGTTTAGCTACTGCTCCCTTAGGTATAAGAAGACCCTGAGGAGAGATGTGCACCATGAGGAGACACTGCTTCCTGGGGTAAGGAGACCCATGGGAGACCCTGAGAAAAGACAGACTCGAAAGATGCCGATACATCGGTTTTTATATCCATTTCGTGTAAGCATCAGTTTTACGCGTTGACCTGCTTAAACTGCTGATTGTTGATAAACCGTGTTATAGTTTTGTTTATTTGTTCACTTCCCAACCAACTAGGTGCAACGTTTATTGAACATATGATCTATTAATGTTGAATTGTTCTGCCTTTTTCTTGAAGGGACGTTTCTATTACACAATTCAAAGTTATTAGTTTTGTAAATGTCTGTCTGATTGAATTGTTACTATTTTCCAGAATATCAATATTCATGTCAGCAAGAAAATAGTATATTATTCAACGAGCGGGTAATGATGGCTATTACTCACGAAAGATGAAGTTTGCACTACGAGCCGCAGGCTAGTAGTGTAATCATCCGAGTGAGTAATAGCCATTACCCACGAGTAGAATACTATACTTTTTCTATGATTAATAGAATTGGCACGAATTATGCGGTTTTTATTCAATTTTCGTGACAAAATTAATTGAGAATTCTGACAGCTGGATGATAAAGTGAGCTTAAGTTAGTACAAGTCTTGTCCAAATCAGCTGTCAAAATGACGGATTGGAAGATTGAAAAATGTTGTCAACTTGTCGAATTTTCTGATTGGTTCTTAAATAGTGGAGTAATGAGACCAGGATATTTCATTGGTTTAAAACAATTGAGTAATGAAGAAAAAACTCACTGTTTGAGTAATCATCCACATTGGATCAACAGAAAATGGATGTATATTACGCATATTATTCAATACTCATAGAAAAAAACAAATTAATTATTCTGTTTTTAGGTTTTCAAGCTTATTATCCAGGAATTCAAAGAAATTATTTTATGATAATGACGGAGGTCTATAGATTCCGCATATTGTAATTCCAAAAGATTTAATGCAAACAGCCATATAGGAAATTTAATTTTCAATTTTTTCAACAATACTAAATTCCAATGTTTTATGAACAAATATTCCCAGTCCTCCACCTCTTCTATCCCTAGTAGCATAGACGATAGGCCGATTAATAATTTCGAGAATTGTAAAAATTTATTTCATTTATTTTCATCCAAATTTCAGTTATAACCAATATATCTATATGTTCATTATTTATTAATATTTCAATTTCTTCCATTTTATTTTTAATAGATCTTGTATTCATATACAGGGTGTATCAGGTTTGAATACAAAAATTGTGAAAATAAGGCCCATTTTGAACAAAAAAAGTTTATACTACATGGGGTCCAAACTCAACCATTCTTAAGCCTTTGAAGTTTTGAAATTTTTTGATGAATATTTGGAAGATAAAGAAAATTTTAATCATTATGAGATGTAAAAAAATTTAGTTCATTCAATTATGAAGTAATTATGCATTTTTAGTCAACAACAATAATAAAAAATTGAAAAAACAACATGAAAATTTCACTCGTAAATCAGTATCTAAACATCTGGCAACATAGCACAACACACACACTTGATTTGTCTTTTGTCAAGTATTGAAGCATTGGAAACGCGTGTAATTCACGTCGAATATACAGATACTTGTTGAGACATAATCGTTGCAAAATGCCCATTTAGCCGCCAGAATTTACAGGGAAATATTTCCCAAGAGCGCCCACCTGATGAAATAACATTGTGTCCGTTTTACAAAGATTGCGTGATACGGGAGGTGCGAGTGTGCAAAATCTGCGTGTTGATTTCAGTGTTTTGAAAACCTTTTAACAAAAATTTTCATAATGAGGATTTGGCAAGTAGCTAAGTAAGTATTATTTAATTTTTCTCTTGAATGCAAGTTATTATTTATATTATTTGGAAACCAATAACAAAACAAAACGTGAACAGATGGAAATATCCTAGGTATATCTTGGCAGAGATAATAAATGTACGATGTTGTCCCGTTGTTAACATTTTCCTAAATTTAAATTCTGCGATAACTCCGAAAAATATTTGTTATCATACCTGATACACCCTTTATAGGTTTTTGATATTTGTATTTTAAAAATAAAAGATGAATTGAACACCATTATTCATGCGTGTATGTGTAATTGGTTTTAAATTTTGTGTTAGATGTAACACAGTTTATGCATTTTGGTGTTGCTTACATGTCCAATAGATATGTTCTTTTGAATAGACTCTATTTACATACTTTCTTTTTCAAACATTTTTCTGCTTTATATATCCATATTCGCAACATTTGAAACAATAATGAATATTGAATATATTATTTAAGTTTTTTAGTAGAAAGTTCTCTTCTTTCAAATTTTTCTACAGGTTCATTTTCATTTTGGGGTCTTCAGTCGATACATATCCAAGGTACTTTAAGTTTATCGAAGTCTGATATGTCCTTTCTTGTTTTTCGAGCACATATTAGATAATACCATTTTGAGCATATTGAGCAACTAACACAATAAGATTTTTTATTAAACTTAAAATTGCACTTTCCACAATTCTCTATATATTGTTGAGTATGTCATTGACTTGAAACGTCTGCTATTTCATATGAATTTCCACAATCTAATAAGTCTTGTGTAGATATGTCAAAATCTCTTAAATGTTGTGGCAATTTGTTGTCAGTTGGGTATTTGTATGTTAGATAAATAGTTTTACTAAAACTTTTATCACTTGGGTCAGGGTTTTGTTTCAAAATTTTCATGTAAATTCATCATGTTTTACATTTTTTTTTTTTTTTTTTTTCTTGAGCCCATTTTTCAAATCTGGCAGCGTATGGATAGTTTCCAAATATAGTATGGGTTCAGTTATTTATTTATTGCTATTTTATTCCTGTATGGAGAATTTAATTAATGGCTTTTTGATATACAGAGTGGTCTTCATTTATAGACTAGTTGATATTATTTTTATGTTAAGCAAAGGGTGTTACAAATTAACTGATATTTGTTACTTTAAGACGAGATAACCTAGGGTCGTGGAATTCAAAAAATTAAGATAACGTGTAGTCCTTTTATGTGCAAATGAAACCACTCAAAATCCAACAAACAATACTTTTATTTGATATTTAACAATGTTATATGTAACATAGAGTAACAGTAAATGTTACTTTCTGTAAAATTTTAGTGTTGACAGCTTGGTTTTTCCGGTGAATCTGATAGCATGTACCGTTCCAATCCGGAGCTCTTCAATGGGTGTTGGGGCTTTCCTTTCGTGAACTGGAGCTCTTCGTGTTGTTTTCTGTATCCAGAAAGAGAATAGAATGCTGGGGTGACGTCACTCCAACTGATCCAGAATCCAAACAATGATCTTTATGTGGAGTAGGTACCCAGAAAAGAATAAGGCAGTATCAGGTTCACCAATATTTGGAATATTAAATCCCTGAAAATGAGTGTCTTGCAAAGGAAATTGAAATTTAATATAAAACGGTATGAACAGCTATTGCAAGTTGAAAAAAAATATATATTTTAATATAAAAAAAATACAATTAAATAATTAAGGATAATGGTAAGATACTAATAAAATTAAAATAATAACAAGACATTAAATTAAAATGCTCGTTATGATTGAGCAAAATGCTGCTTTCCTGACAGTAGCTCTGGCAGGCAAAAAATATGAACAAAATGAGGTAAAACAATAAGAAATTAACTCTTTGGATTCTCCCCAAATAGACAAAATTTTCCTCTTAAATTAAGGTAGCCACAATAGATATTACAAGATAAACCTGACGGTGAAATCAATAAAATCCAGAATATGTCAAAATTCTTGAGATGTTCTAATTAAAACTTTTTTCTGAAGTTTTGACCTGTCTGGATTTCTAATAAAAAATTACACCATTTAGTTAATTGACGGAGTCAAACAGAAAATGGCTATTCAGGCCTCTGCCTGGATTCAATAGAGTTGATAGGGATAGACACACAAATTTGGTTTTCACTGACTCTATTTAGAGCAAATGGTCCAATATTCCCACACTAACAATTGATTCTGAAAACCAGAGCAGCAGTACCTATTTAAAGTCCAAAAAATCTGAATTGACTTATCTCAGATAAACGTGGCACTACCAATCAGCACTCATACAAAATGGAAGCCAACAATTAGATAAAAAAATTAAAATATAATATTTATATTTCAAGAATAGATAAGATAATATTTATCAGGTAAAAACTTAACAATGATATGATAATATGAATTGATAGCAAAATATATTGAAAAATCTATAAGGGAGAATCCAAAAATTAAGAGCGAAAATTACTAAAAATAAAAAGGACTCGCCTGCCATTCTTCTGTCGAGGAAAGAGAACGTTTTAGAAACCAAAGCCCACAAGAGAATGATCCGTGTTTTTTATACTTAACTGCACTTTAACCAGTTCAACCAATCAAACGAGTATAGTCTGGCTAGCGAAACGGCGAACTGCAAAAGAATTTGCTAATTTGCCAAACTTGACGGAAATAGTGATAAACAAGTTGGTGAAATTATTTTTTTTGCTATATGGGCATGTGTAGTATTTTGAAATAGAAAAAAATCCGGCAACATTGCAAAATGATAGATGTGGAGAGGCGTGATTATTCAGAGGTATGATTCTATTGGTTAGAGTCTGAACGACAGCAGGCAGTGGCGTGGTTATTGGCGAAACTAAAGAATTTTTTTTTCTAATAATTTTATTGGTGTTTCCGGTGCCACTGAACCGAAAGACATGGCTGTCATCAGGTGGTGTCAGTTGAGGTGTCAGTGAATATTTTTAGGTCACGCCCCACTTTTCTTCCCCCTTTCGTCTCTACCAAGTTACCACTTGCCAGACTATACACTCAAAAGATTATATTCACTTTACAATGAAATTTACATTTTACGTGCATGATGGATAGATGGCAGCACTTGTATTATTTTGAACTTTGTGGATATTTAGTGCCGGTACTTTTGCTCTCATTTGACAGCCGTTAAAAATAATCAAAGGTTTGAATGTGCTCTAACCACATCATACTTATAGACCTTTGGCCCATGCAAAACTTTGACGACATATCAAATTCGTTAATCGAGATCAAAAGTATCGGCCCTTAGTATATTAGGAATTATTATCTTGCTGATTCTTAAATGAAAAAAAAAAAAAAAAAAAACAATTTTATAATCAAAATGAGAAGAGATGGAACTGTTACGTAAATGATAAATTTATCGTAACAAGGGTTCGATTCTGTTAGCTCACATTTTTCTCGTCCATCAACATTACAGTAATTCTATGGGATTATTTTTAACAGTAGAACAAGAAAAGTTCAACTTACCTTTCAAGATAAAAAATCGGTTTCCAATATACTACAAGCGCACTTTGGCAAATGATTTGGAATCGTAACTGAAGCGTAGCTCAAACTTTAATCATCGTAATTACCATAGATCAGTCAGTCAGTCAGCTTTAAAAGGGAGTCAAACGCTTTAATTTGTCAAATTAAACACGGGGACCAAAAGACACATTATCCATGTCTTTGCTGCTTTCGTTCGTTTGCTTGCGGTGACATAATTAAGCTGTTAAGCTGATGAATTTCGTCTCTTTGAGGCTTCCTATTAACTTTATTAAACTCAGGGGGACAAGACCACCAGAAGAAAACCTTGATCAGGCAATGAGTTTTTGAGTATTTGCAAAATACGCTATTCTATTTTTTAAACGAATTCAAACAATAATTATATTCCAAAAGCTTCCCCCTGGAGTTTCAACCAACACAAAGTTATTATAACTCAGCAGGACACGACGATATCCCTGCAAGGGGCACGACGAAACAGTGAGAATTGCTATGTCAAGTGCAGGTGCTTGCTTTTGTATCAAAGACCCTATAGACTATAGACGAAGCGAAATCTAAAGGGTACAAAAAAGGCTCCTGTTTTGTCAATGTCGAGGTAGCTATAACACCAGGTTTGATAATTATTAAGCGTTTTTGTTGAATTTTATATAATCATTTCAAAATCCCGAATTAGAATAATTAAACGTTAATGAATAAAATCTACCTTGCTTCAGCTTTATAATTTTCCCATTGTACGTTCGGATGAATAAATTTACTAATTGGCACTTTATGAGTGGCAAAATATGCTCTGGTAAATTGTAAATTCAGAGTGCCGTAACTGAATTACTTTTGTTATTAGGTATCTCTAACTTTGGATACAGAACAAATAATATTTGTCCTGAAATTGTCCATAACACCATTTTCTAATTCTAGCAAATCTATAGATCAGCTGAAATTATTCTACAGTAGAATGAAATACACACATCAAAATAGTCTAGAGAACAAGATGCAACTGAATACATTTATAAATTGAACAAAATATACTTTTAAAAGATTTTTAAATTTTGTTAAAGCCGATATGATAAATTTGACAAGATTTGTTCAACAAATACCCATATGGTATCTTTTAAAAAAAAGTTATTCTGTCTCAAAATTAAAAGACGAATATTTCTTGTTCCCTAGACTTTTTTGATGAGTGTATTTGTTTTGAAGTTTTCGATGCGGACTCAACTACAGAAAACCAGTTAACAAGATGATTGACACAGATTTTGGCTGAGTTGGTTATATTTGGTCTACGAACATACCAACCAACAAATAAGTTTTGTTTAATCAACCGAATTCTCTCGATTTTACGCAAAACTTACATTTACGACGCCTTTAAGTGGTTCAAAACCCGTAAAAGACCGCGCGAGGCTCACTTATATAAACCAGGGGAGTGAAAAGAGAAAAGATAAAACAAACCTCGACACCCCATGTGAACTCGCTGGTGGCCTAAAACGCAAAACAACACAAAGGGATGATGCGGACCCTCTTTCTTCTTCTCTCTCAGTTACGGCTTATGTCACTACGCTAATAACAATGCAAACAGCACGGAGATAGGTATCTGACTTTATCCTCTGCTTTATCCTCCGGAATATTTAAATGAGAATAAATGGTAATATTCTTGGGGAAAATGATGGTGCAGATATTTATTTATGCATTTGGCAATTAAGGATTTTAATGGAAGTTTCACAAAGTTAAGATATTCATGAAGCTTATAACCTCATTTTAGAGCTAGAACAAATTTAATCCAAGATATACCGAATCAAATTCAACAATGAAAGACTGTCATTTCAAATGACTGAGATCTGGTATCAATGAATCAACAATAATAATAAATAAACATTCTACAAAATAACTGGAAAATTCTTGCCACAAAAGAGAAATTACAAAAGAAACGGCCGACAATAAAAAAGAAAGGGGGCGCAAAGTGCACCCCCTAAAAGTTCCACGCCTGTTTGTTTAATGACGTGGTGCCCCATTATGCGTCTGGCAGTCGCCGGTCCGCACCCCCGCGTAGCCAGAGAACTCGTAGTCTACCTGCAGGAAGCGGAGTAAATGGAAAATAATTTATTATTAATAAGACGAAGAGCGTTCCGTTCCCCCTGTATACCCGTCCAGTAAATATTTGATGATTTTTGTTGGGGGGGAGATTTGATAGGAAAGTATGTTTGGCATGCTGATGGAACTATTTTGGATGTTGGGGTTTCGATTTAAATTAGTTGGTAGGTATATTTGACATCTTTTGATTGAATTAGTGATGTAGGGGAAATCCAAGAAAAATAATTATAAAGACTATGGTTAATTGAAGTATTGCGCCAATGACAAAAAATCCAGCATTGAAAGAAAAGTTACCGAAACACTTTCCATTTTTCGCAAAAATTAAACGTGGGTTGCTCTGGATCTACTGAAAAGCGACGAAAACTACTTACTCAAGAAGACTCCCTCATAGATTGGTCTCATTTGAATTTCGTTTTACATGTTAAACTTGCTATTCCAGATAACGTTGTAGCAACAATTAAGCTACTTTGTCATTCTATTATTATTTTAAGCATGTAAATTTATTATATTTCAGGTGTTTTTAATTGTAATCACCGGTATTGCTGTATATATTAATTATTGTAATGCATTTAAAGCAAGTATACTTATTTCCCATTAAATTTAGGTTTAGGTTGCAATTAGGAGTGAACCTGATTTTTATGTAAGTGCTACTTTCATTCAGGTGGCACCATACTATCTCTATTCAATGATTTTCGCCCAGCTCTATATCCTTTCGAATAATACCAATCTTTCCGGTTGCTAAAGCCACCTTTTTCGGCTAGCTTCATACTGCAATTATTTAAAATGCGCACGGCCTTGCTTTAGGACGGGCCACTCTTTCTTGGCGGCTTGGTTAAGCGGAGTCGACGTCATTGACGTTAGCGAGCCCTTTTGTTTTTTGTCCGAACGTGCTAAGTTTCCTTGAAAATCTCTTGAAGGGGTGAATAATCCTTCAAATTTCTCTCTGTGGTTCGCAGTGATATTTATGGCTAATTGAAGAAATAGTTTATTCGTCCACTGGGCCACTTTTTTTGTGATTTTATTGGAACATGCCAGGTATGTGACAAATCCTTTTATACCTTGAACATCCCTTGAACAGCCTATCTTTATCTGCAACCACCTCTGGTGAGGCCAGTGCCAGTATTGTGTACCAAATCATGGTATAAAAGCCCCTTGTTCAGGGTGAGTCATGTACTTTTGTGTCTTATAAACTTTATCAGTAGACAAGCTTTTTGTCTATTTCACCTTTCTTTTAATAGAAAAGAGACCATCAGGCCTAGTATTGGTCCAATTCAGTAAAGACAGTATGCTTTCCTAAGCTTGATATACCCTTACTTCTGAGGTCATTCTCATGGTCCCTGATGGATAGTGCCTATCGTCCTTGATGACACCTCGACTTGGAAGTAGTAACTACAGGTTCCTTTACGTTTAAATTTTACCTTTTATTTTATATTTTTTATTGAGCATTACCCAATTGAGATGTCTCATTTCCATGTTCAGTTTGCTGTTCGGCTGAGCATGTGAATTGTCAGAGCAGAAGACTCAACGAAGTCGTTTTATGTTTTTTATTATTGACTCATTTCCATGTTCAGTTCGCTGTTCGGTTGAGCATATGATTTTCAGAGCAGTATATTGTATATTAAATGTATATACTCCATTTACTTTGACCAAAAATTTATGATTGCCAGCATGGGTTTTCTACAGGACGCTCTACTGCAACGAACTTTGACGACTATCAGCAGTTTCTTATTGAAGGAAGGCTGACAGGTTGAAGCAATTTAGACATTGCAGATTTATCCATAGCATTCGATAGTCCATATTAAAATGATAAATAATTAAAGTGATTACCACTTTTGTTACACCATTTCACTGAGAGCAAACAATAAAAAATGGAAGTCGGAACTATTCTAAGTTATCGGGAATCCTCTGTTGTTTGGAGATGATAGTTAATACTATAGTTTTTGTATTGGTTTCTTTTACACCGTTTTCGGTCAATTTGTGAAGCTATATACTGATATTCGAACGTATTATGACAGTGGCGATTGGATTCACATTAAATTATATGGTAGATACAAACACTGAACTGCGTCGTGTCATTTTTAACCATCAAGCTGAAGACGTATATCAGCGTTTTGTCACGTCACAACTTCAGAAAATGACGCTGATCTGCGTCTCTGTCCTTCAATGTGTTAAAAGTGAGCTAAACACGACCCAAGATGAATGTCAGCATTACTGGGGAATGAAACCACTATTATATCGAGCAGAAGTCTTCGCTATACATGAGCATTACGCGAGGGTGTATTCTCATCTCACGGATATCCAACCAACAATAAAAGCTCTGGATTCCAATCGCATCACTTCCCGCATGACGATGGAGTGCCTCACTGACCTGAAGCAGATTGCTAAGGAACACAAGGTTCAACTCCTATGGGTTCCTGACCACTCAGCGATAGAGGGCAA